AGGGGGGGGGGGGGATTCGCTTAAGGTATCGATAATTAAAATTACCTTTTAGTATGGTTTAATATTACTAAAAAAATATCGGAATTGCATCAAATGATTTTTTCCATTTCTTATTTACTAAAAGGTAAATTTATAAAAAAAACATATGATGGTGATTAATAAAACCTAAATTGATTTTCTTTAGACTTGATGGTTGAAGTAAAAAAAGTTGATTTTCTTTCTTAACAATATTTATATAGATATGTATAAAGTTCAAGTTGCTTTACTCCCTTTTATAATTATTAATGATTTTTTTTATTTATGACTTTAGCTTTGCATATGAAACAATAAATCTATGTTTTATAATTGGTTACAAAAGGTAGATTTCTAAATTAAACTTAATATGATTAAGGTAAACGATTTCTTCAGACTTTCATAAAGAAATGATAATTGTGAAGTTTAGAAATAATTGATTTTCTATTATTATTATTATAAAATGAGTAAATTATTTAAACAAAATGAAAACTGTTATTTATTTTAAACTCAAGATAGTTAACAAGTTATTTTCTATTTTAATATTTAATTTTATATAGAATAATTAAGAGAATATACAAATAAAATTGCATTAATGCTACAATATTTAAATTATCAAATTTTGATTACAACATCTATCCCTTATTGTTCTAATCTTCTAATCAGGTCTCTCTATTCATCTCTTGTAAAGCGTTCGAAGCATTAAGAAATATCAATATAAACTTCCTTTGTATATTGATTTAGAGTTTGTAAAATTTGTCTTAGTTACTCTTTATTAAATTCACAATTAATTAAAATCATTTTAAAAAAACGGAGATTCTTAAAATTATATTCTTAAAAATCTAATTAAATATTATCAAAAGTAATATCAAGAATTTCCAATTAATGACTTCGTAAATTACTAGAAAATTAAAAAGTCTAAATAGTCCCTTTATTAATAATAGTTGTCTTGAATAGTTTCAAATAATTGAATTTTGCAAATAATTATTCACAATTATTTAGAATAAGATTACCAGAAACTTCAAAATAAACTTCCTCAAAATTATATCTATCTAACTATAAAAAATTCTCATTTATATTTAAATTTATCTCGATTTCTACCTTGCAAGAATTATTTGGATATTATTCTATTATTTAGAAATATGAGTATGAAAAAGCTATAAGAGTTTCTGTTCTCTTAACATCAAATTTCATTTAATGTTCATTTGTAGCTTCTACTTGGAGTTGTAAGAACTTTAATTTTTGAGGGCAATTTTTGATAATTACATTAATATGAGGAATATGATTAGGATTTATTTCATCTAAATAATAATTCAATTTTAATTGAAATAGTTCACTAGCTTTTAAACATTTTATTAAATCTTCTAATTCAGTTCCCATACAAAAAATTCTTTATGCTTAATCAATTTCTAAAATACTTTTGATACAAGCAAGTACATAACTAAATTAAGCTCGAATCCTTATTTTTTTTTTGCCAGAATAATTAGAAAAATTTAATGTTTTCATATTAACTCTGTAAGTACAACTTTCTTTTAAATAATATTCATTTACTTTTGACATAATTGAGAAAGATTTAGGATATTCCAATACTATTTGATTTGAAATTTTGTTGAAATATTAAATAGATTCTAAGAATTAATTAACTGAAGATGTGCTTAAAATTAAACCTGGAATAAAAAAGTCTTTAATAACAATTTCTAGTAGAGCATATATTGCATTAAAACTTAAATATATTTGTTGAGTGAAAGACAAAGTCCATATTTAATCCGATGTCTGAGTTGATAATGATAAAATATATATAAATAACTGAGGAATCCTATTCAAGGTGTCTTCTATATTTGCTCTCCACATCAAAGCTATATATAATGGCTATTCTTTTCTTTAGTCCGTTCTATCTTCTTCATTATTTTATTGACTGAATTACAATAATACTGAAGCGATATTGCCTTAAAATTTTAAGACATAATTTTTGAACTTGACATAAGTTTTAAAAATAAATTCTCTGCTTGTATTCTAATTTATTTTACTTTAAATATAATCTAAACAAAACCATAGGATTTCATACATCTTTACTGTATTTAATATTGTAAAAATTAGAACAACTGATAGTAATCTTAAATTTGAAAAGGTTTTAAATGCACGTTGATAAAATAATCCAAATGAAATTGGATAGAATATTACGTTGAATGCAGTTAAAGCAACTAAGACAGATTTATATAGATCATATTCTTTAGTCAAATAGATCAGAGTAAAAATTGAAAACATGATATTGATAGAATCTGAAGAAAGTATGGTAATTATATCACAATGTTTGAAAAAATCCAAAAAATAATGATAAATATCGTACAAATTCACCAAAAATCTTATCTCACAAACATGCTCTTTAAAACGATCTCTTTTAGTTATTCTATCAATACAATTTTTCGCTTCTTAAGCAATATTTTAAGGTTCTATTGCTTAATTGTTTTGTTCGATTAAAATTAGCTTTGAAAATTATGCAGAAAGTTATATGTAACCATTATTAACAAATTAATTTTGTGGCAGTGCTTACCTATTAGCGATTATTTTTGGATTTTGAATAAATTTTATTTATTCGATTATCTCCCTTTCTTCATCAGTATTATATTCAATCCTTAAATCCTGAAGGTTTTCGCCGCTTATATGAAAAAAATTTAATTTTTCCACACCCCTAAAAATACTTTCCAATTATGATAGTTTATCTTCTACCTTATATAAAAGGCTTATATCTTTTACTTGAATCAATTTAAAGCAATTAGCTAAATATTATAATGTAACTTCATCATATTCATCAATGAAATGAAATTCAAGGTATTTATATTCTTTATATCTTAATAAGTAACTTATTATTTATATCATGCATCTTTTCTTTTAATAAGGGCTGAAATTACTTGGATCAATATGAAAATAATAAGAATTAAAAAATTCCATTTATTTTGAATCAGATTTCAGTAATTGCTTTGTTTCTTAAATGAACTTTAACTTAATTTATTTTTATTTAAATGGTATTTTTTTTTGCGTTTATCTATTATTTGTAGTGAATACAATAAATTATAATTCAAAAAGGTAGTAGATTAAATTAATTGTTAATAATACAAAAATAATGATATTAAATACATCCCATGATCCTATTAATGTGTTAAAAAAGCCTTATATAAAAAGTTAAGGAATAGTTTAAATAGCCATAGTTATCATCATAGAGAGGAGAGCAACTCGATGGAATATAAAATTCCTAAAGATATTGACAGGTTTTTTTCTATCTTTGAAAAGCCTACATGGATTTCTTTATTTATCTTCTTAACTTTATAGCAAGTATTTATTAATTTAACTGAATGAGAATTATCTAATTGATTAATCTCTATTATAATAAATAATAAATGGAGCTAATTTAAAATAACTTAATATTCCCATACCCATATAATATAAATAATTAGTTATTTCAACAAATATACTATTTTAAGCAACATTTCTGATATGATAAGTATACATCCAAGCTCCACTATGAATTGAAACACATAAAATTATAGATAAATTATAACTGATCTCATAGTATGCAATTTCATCATTAATGTTATTATATGAGCTATAAATTAATGTAAAGATAAGTTCTAGAACACTTAAAAGGTATATCAAGACTTGAAATCCTATTTTACCATAATATTTAAAATTTCTTGAGCATTTCTTAATTTCATTTAACCGTGTTTCTATTAATTCTTAGAATTCACTCTTGTAATTCATTTCTTTATGGGTTTACCAATCTAATTGAGGGTCAGAAAGAGAACCAGCAGCACTAAAATGTAATTTACTCATTTAATTTCTTTGAAAAACAAAACAATAATATCATATAAATAAATCAATTCTTTCTTTTAAAAAACCAAAATTAAATTCTACATTAGAAAACTGTTTTAAATTGTTAAATTTATCAAAAAATATACTAACTAGAAGAATATATTTTCTAATTTTATTATAATTATATAATGCAAGTAAAAGGGAAAGAAAGTTAATTATTTTTATATTAACCTTCATATATCAAATTCTTTATTGAATCCATATTTAAGATGAAATTTTATAGCGGAAAAGAAAATTGAAATGTTTGATCGATTTATGATTTATGATTATCAAAAATAAATATTTAAGTAGAAAGTGATGATGGTTAATCCACTAAATACATTATTTATACTGAATTATAATACCAAATTTATTTAAAATAAGATTATCAACAATATGTACATTCTTATGAATTAAAAAAATCAAATGAAGTATGCAATTTTCAAATTAAGTGAAAAATAATTGGAATTATAAATTAAGAATTATATAACTAGTTAAATAAATTAGAAATCAAATCAGTATATTATGATTTTTGATCATCATGATAATAAATGAATACTACTTAAATAAAAGTAAAATAATTTAAATTAATTTTATATCTAATAAATTCTGATAAATATATATTGACAAATATTTCATAATTTAAGTTTTTATACTACTTTTGAATTCTGAAACACGTAATAATTAAATTTAGAAAATGTCAACACAATAAGAATTACCAATCTTTAATCAATAGACTCCTTAACCATCAAGTTAAATATCAAAGGTTTAATACCCCATTTTAAGTAATGTAGTACCAGCAGCTTAATATATTTAATTGGATGATGTTTAATAAGCTGTTGCTGAGAAATCCGTTGTGATTGAAATTAATTCAGATAGATCAGCATTTCTGATCGAATATTATAAGAAAATATTACTCTAACATTCAATCATATTAGGATTATTCATACTTGGATTGACAAAATGGTTTAGTTCAATAGTAGTAATTCATCATTATTGGTGGAGTTACTTTAGATGGACTTGGTATGTTGTGTTAGGATTGTTGATTGCTATAGCATTAGGTCTCCCAATCTTGAGAAAATATAGATGCATTGTAATTCCATATTGTTTATGTATTATTAGGTGTCTTAGTAATCAAAATTGTTCCATTTTCAAACAGTATTAATAGCCTTTCTTTTGATTGGAATAGCTGGAAATCAAAGAGGAAATAGTAATCACAAAACTGTAAATATTTGGATAATTTTGGTATTGGTGATTTTAATTGGTCATGATTTACTTCAAATAATTATTGTGAAAACTTAAAGAACTCATTACTACACTGCTTTAATGAAATTTGCAATCATGGGATCATTAGCATTAAATTTCATTGTAGGTTTATCAAATAAGAATCTTGACAGAGCATTTCCTATTTCTGAAATAATTATCATATATGCTCTTTATTATTTCAATCAATTGAATGATTAATTATTGAAATAGACTCATGAATTACCAGAGGAATTATCAATTGTTGAAAGAATCCAATAGCTTACTTTGATTAGAAATTTATTTAATTAGGAGGCCAGATAAAATCAAATAATTGAATAAATACAAGACACTCATTGTGTAATTAGCAAACATTTAGTAATTGTAATTGGATCTAGTGTTGGATATATTGCAGTATTAGTATTAAGTATTGTAACTGGAAATGGGTTTTTAATATTTACATTGATTTTGGGATCGATTTCAATGTTGAGTGTGATTTTAGAAACCTAAGTTGCTTCAAGAGTATAAATTAATTAAATATTTTTATTAGAGTTTGAAACCAGAAGACTCACATTATGCAGTTTGTTTGACTTATCTTGACATGGCTAGTCCCCTTAGATTATTATTGAGAAGCTTATTCAATAAATGAATATCAAAAAATATTTATAATCATACTTTCTTTGGTTTATATAATTAATCTTAAATATCAAAAAAAGGAAATAAAATTATTTACATAAAATTGATAAATAAGATATAAGACAGAGAATATAATTGATTTATTGAGGATGAGAAAATTAATAAATTTATATATATGATTTTTGGAAAGGATACCTAAAAAAGATAATGAAAATTCTTCTTTTGATGTCTAAGTTTAACGAAATGATAATTGAATGATTATATTAATCAAAAATATAAAATATCATGTTCTCTCTTAATTAAATTAGAACTCCAAAGTTTTTATATTGCTTGAGAAACTATAGAGTGAAGAATTAAATTTTAGTGATATAACTTTTAATATTTACTTTGATTATTGCCTTTTTGACAATAGCCCTGGTAATTAATCGAGTAATAATTGAATCTGTAATTGAGAAGGTCTCACTATAATTATTGTAAAATATTAATCAAAAGGCTCTACATAAACAATCAACTTATTTGGAATACTAAACCTACTTAACTTTTAATTTTGGCTTCAGTCTGCTTAATAAAATTAATAATGAAAATTTGTTTTTGCTTAAGTAATAAAATATTACTTTGGGCAATATGCCTTTAAGTTGTGTTGATTATAACATAAGAGAAAGGCAACCTTTTTAATATTATCTACCATAATTTTGTTATTATTATGCAAATCATATTGATTTTGAATAAATTCCAAAAACACAAATTGATTAACATTTGATAGTTTTGATTTAAATGTTAAATGAATAATTATTGTTAATTGGTAATAGTGAACTGGAACCAACAATTTATTTAACATAATAAGGAGATGGACAATTTTTCGCCATTATTCCATAAAAAATGAGATATCCTATGTATAGACCAAAAGAGAGACAATGGTATAAGGATCATACAGCTGCTTTAAATGATAGCAAATAACCTGAAGTTATATCTGAAATCTATAGGAATTTCGAAACACAAGAATTCGAATTTACTCTCACTGTTTCATTAACTAATTCATAATTAGAATTTGATGGAGTTATAGCTTTGGATAGTAATTTCTAAGTTATTAAACCAAAAATCAACTATGATTAATTAAATATTTATCTGGTTGATTTAGCTGGTAGGATATTGATTTCAAATGTTTATCCAAAAATCAATTTTGTTTAAGAGATGAAGTTCTTTAATGAAACCTCCATCACAGGATTTGATAATGAAGATTGGAATGAAATCCTCAAATAAATACTTTATTAGAGTGGAGAATCAAATTGTCAATATACATACAAAAACTTTTGTAGATATAATAAGTTATATGGTTAAGATTTATTTATAAGAGGATTTGGCATTCACAATAGATTTTATCAAATAGTGTAAGCATATTCAAATATCATTAAGATTCGTAGATTATAAGTTCATGGAATAAAATGATTATGATACTCAATAATTAAAATCAGAATTGTTAAGTTAAGCAACTGCTTAATTGATATATTATATTATCTATAATATTTCAGGTATTCTACTTTGTTGGATAATTATGCATTTCTTCTTAAGACCTTATTATGAATTAACTAGGTTATTTTAATAGACAACTCAAACTAAATTCAATTAGAAATATGAAATTGCTTTAAGGAAAGTCAAAATATTTAAGTAAAATAATCTAATATAAACTGGACTCGATAATCTCTGCAATACTCTATCTAAAATAAGATCAAAAAAATCAAGAGAGTGTCATTATATGGAAAATTACAAATACCCAAAGAATTTAGCCAAAAATGCTTACAAATTTAGATTTTATATTAAGCAATTTCCAAAAGTATTCTAAATGTTTTTATTTTAGAAATCATAAATCTAATAATTAGAAAGATCAATTAATACAATTTATGAGGAGATATTAGAAACTTTGGCAGTAAATAATGATGAATTCTACTTTAAATTGATGTGATTAGATATATTAGTTAATGTTTCAATTTAACTTTTACTTTATATATAATATATAAATTATAAAAACAATAATAACTAATGCAAATATTAAGAAAAAATATTTTCTAGAATTACTTAAGAAAAGATATTACTTATGAAGAATTAGTAAAGGTGAACATAAATATGATAATCTCAATGAAGTTATTTAATTTTTAGGAGAAGTTAAAAAACTTTCAAATTGCTCTAAATCTACTTCATTTCCTACGTTACTTTAAAAATTATTTAACAAACTGAAATTTAATTGAAAACATTTTAATTAGTAAAAGGTCTTAACTATGTCATATGGTTAATGATATACATGTTATAAAGTTAATATAAAACATAATGTTTATTTAACAAATAAAAATTTATAACGGAATATGTTTTATCAGTTAGATCTAAAAATATGTTTATTCTCTATTAAAAGTAGATATCAAATGAATTAATAAAATTTAAAAGAATAACACATAAATCTAATACAAATTGATTGATCATAAATTATAAAATATAAAATTGATTACAATTAATGATGTAATTATATTATATTATAATTGTTTTTATTTAATTTTTGAATGACAATATGAAAGAGAATTCTAATTGCAAAAGACAATAAATCAAGCATGAGTTTTATTGAAAAACTACTGGATATATTAGATTCTTTTTTTTGTAGAAAGTCATAAACATCATAGACTTAGACAAATTTATTTAAACCTGAAACTTAAAATTTTATTTATTTTTCAAATAACTTATCTTGAATATTATTTCTTGTCAAAATATATTGAAATTATATTCATATTAGATCATGTTTAGAGTTATTTTGCATTTTGCTAAATTAAATAAAAAGTGATTTAATTAAATAATGGGATATATAAACACCTTGATCAGCATAATGATTACATCAACACTCTTAGGTTTGATTTTATTTTTTAGGGGTGTTTTTATAGATAGATATTATATTAGGGTTAAAGCTGAAGGAAAAATAGAAAAAGCAGATCCAGTTGTACTAATAGTAATAGATTCATTTAGAATGGATTTAGCAGTGAGCAACTAATTCAATTTTATCTAATAAAGAAAAAACGATCCTTAATCCCTTATTTTTTTATCATTAGCTGAAACTCCAACAGTCACTGGACCTAGAATTCAAACTATGACTACAGGTAACTTCGCTCCATTAACAAAGGTTTTAGATAATTTTCATGATTCGGAGGTATCATTTTCATTAATTTAGATTGTTGAAGATAGTTTTATCCGCTAAGCAAAAATGAGTGGAAAGAAGACATTATTCATAGGTGACAATAACTGGTTAGGACTCTATCCTAATGAATTTACTTAAGCTCATCCTTTAAACAAAATGAGAATTAATTCTCATGCTATGTATGGTGTTGATAAAAAATTTGAAAAAATATTCCACTAAAATCTTAATTAGAGATTTGATCTGACAGTGATTCACTTTTTAGGAATAGATTATGTTGCTCATGAATATAATAGGGTTGTTTAAAATAAAGTTCTTGAAGAATAATTAGAATAATTGAGTGATATTATAACAAGAATTTATTAGAGATTATCAAATGATACTACTCTAATTATTACAGGTGATCATGGAATGTTGAATGATGGAAATCATGGAGGTAACAGTTCCTTAGAAACTAATACTGTATTCTTCGTAACTAAAAAAAATGCTCACTATAACAAACACTATATGAAAAATGTTAATGGATTTCGAGATGACTATGAAACTTTTGTGGTCTCAAAAGATTCATATTTAAGAACAATTAAATAAGTTGATATAGCACCAACAATAGCTAAATTAATTGGAGTGCCAATTCCATTTAGTAATATAGGAATGATTATACCAGAAATATTCCCTAGTGATGTTGTTGATGATTATTGTGTAGAGAATTTAAAGTAGATGTTTCATTATTCAAAAAAAATAAAATAAGATTAAGGATTATTTACTAAATCATAAATTAGATAATGGAAAAACAAAATCGATAAAGTGTCTAATTGTGTTTAAGCTATTCCAATTATGGAAGAAATTCAACATTAAAGTAGAATAATATGGAATAATTATAATGAACTTCTAATAATCCTTTCAATTATCTTTTCAATCCTCAGTTTATTACTTTATATTACTACTTTATTGACAATTAAATATGTTAAAGACTATTCACTATGTAATACATTAATGAGATAAATTAAATCCAAATATAATATTTATAGTAAGTAAATATTTATAGGACTTTTTGGATTGGCAAGTTTAATTTTGTTTTTTGAAATAGAAATTTTTATAGCTATTGTTTTAATTCTATCTATTACAGTTATCCTAATATATTCAATTGTATTATTGTATTAATGTATGAAGGAAGAATCTGCTTCATATTCTTCTTTACATAAGGATCCAATCAATTAAAGTAAAGAATTTTAATACTTTAAATTTTTTATTTTTGCCATATTTTTACATAAAGTATATAGACAAGGATCTTTATTGTTTTCTATTGATGCTGGAACTATTGAACAAAATTAATTGTTTGATTAAATATTCGATTTATTATTTATGAGTTTTGTTCTAAATATTATGGTTTTACTTAAAACCTATTACGATTCAGGATAATCAAAAATACATTTTATTTAATTAGCTAAGTCTATTGGAGAATAGTTAATGCTTGTAGTTTTAACATTAATTTTGTTACAATTAGAATATCTATATTATGAACTTAGTCTAGAGCATTCTTTCAAAAATTTAAAAAAGAAGAAACAAATAATTCATATTTATTTCCCCTCTATTTTACAACATGTCTTGCTATATTACTATTAACAATTAGGGAATAAAAATAAATTCAATAAAATAATAGCCCATTTATTTTTATTTATCGTTTAATTCTACTTTATTGTCCCTTAGATATCTATGTTTGATCAAAATAGAATCCTTATATAGAACTCCCTAAAAGCATTTATATTTTGTATGCCCTTTTTTTACATCTATGCTAAAGATTTGATTTTCATCTTAATTCCTACATAATTGGCAACATCTTAATATGGAATTGCAATATATACTTACTTCATAATATTAATGTTATTGGTGTATATTTTATCCAAACCATAATTGAAAGTACTATTTTATAATCTATTAATAGTATAATAAATTAATATTTGTTGCAATAATTTCATTAATTTGCTAGTACACATGGTTTATGGTAGGCAATCAATGTTCCATATCTTCAGTTTAACGTGCAACAAAGAGAATAGGGTTCTCTACTACTAATGGTGTGGAACTGCTTCTAATAATAATATTTCTATTAATAGGCCCTTATGTAGGTGGTTGCTTATTTTTGAAATTTGTAGGGAATATGTTAAAGGAAGAAAAAGATGAATTAAGAGAATCAGAGAAGGAGAATTCAAATAAGGAAATAAAACTATATTTTTTGCTTAACTTTTATCTTTAGATATTGTTTACCCAATTCCACAATTATAATAATTTAGGTGGATATACAACAATTTAATTTAAATATATCTTTGATGTAGTTGGATATATAATTATTTGTCTATTAGTTTATATTTAATGAAATATATATTTAATAAAATATATATATATATATAATATTCTCTCAAAAGTCTTCTATTTATGCTTTGTCATTAAAATATTTTGCATGGTATTGTGGATTACGACCATAGGCCAATTCCTCAATCAAATATCTACTTGTAAAAATTCCATCCTTGACTTCACCTGGTGCTTTGGGTCCTCCCATATCAGTTTTAACCCTAGAAATGTTAGGAATAATAGAAATACCAGCCAGGATGAACACAAAAAATGGATTGATTTGGTTATACTAAATCTGTTAATACATATCTGGCATAAGCATTTGTCAATACTTTAGACACTTTATATAATGGTTAGATATGGGGTGACCATATTCCATAATTACCCTCTTTGTAATTGTGAATCAAATCTCTAGCAAACTCTAAAATTTATTGTTTTGTTAATTTTTCTTATAATAATTTTTAAGTAGAGGGTGGTTATAATTTTAGCTTACCAAGCATAGAAGAAATTAAAATGATCTAATAATAGTATAAATTAATTACTTTTCCATCTTGAGTAAGTTAGGGTAGTATGGTTTCAGTTAAATTGATGATTCCAAACAAATTAGTATTCATAATGTCAAAGGCCTTATTTTCTAATTTATTTTCATCATTCACACCAGCATTATTGACAATTACATCAACAGTGGTGTTAGTTGAGAGCATCCATTTATGAAATGCCTTAATGCTATCAAATCTGGAAACATCTAATTCTTTTGTGGTGATGCTGGCATTAGGTACAATGGCAGTGATTTTACTCTTAGCTTCATTAAGACTATTGAGATTTCTGGCTGTCAAGAGTATATGATGTTTTGGTGACAAGACTTCAGCTAGTTTAAATCCAAGACCTCGATTTCCTCCAGTGATTAAGACTTTTCTCATTTTTTAAAAATATGAATATTTATAAATAGTATATAAAATCTTATGAAGTCAAAAGATTTATTATAATTTTTGATAAAATAAAATAATTTTATCAATATGAAATTAATTCTCGAGATAATTTATTATTAATAATCTTCTATATGAAAAATACATTGATAATTCTGTTTTAATTATAATTATAATAAATATATTTCATTAAAAGTATTACTATTTATCATAGAAAAATGAAAGTATTTTAATTGAATCAAAGTAGGTCTAATTCAAATGTATTTGTAAATTCTCTAAGTTTGTAATATGTAATAGTAGTATAATGGTTTACAATTTATATATGAATTTAATTATTCATGATTTTTAACATTTTATATTGTATGGTATTGGTTTTAAATAAATAAAATCAAGCTTGTATTCTCATTATAACTTATATAAGTAGAATTAGTTTGGAAAATCAAAAATTCACTAAATTACAAATAATTTGTTGTATATTAATTACTAAAAATATTAATGTATATAAAGAAGTAATATATCTATAACAAAATTATTGATCATTGTGATTTATTTATTTATGAAAGAAATCTCTATTTTCTGATGTATCTTTAAATAAATTTAAAGTGATAAAATTAGTGATGTAGTTTTAAATCGATTAAATGGAATTAGTTATGACATATTTAAAATAGTTTCAATAATAATACATCAGAATATATTTAAAAATGTATTGTATATATATATATGTTTATCAATATATTATAGAAATTATTAAATAAATATTAAAATAATTTATATTTAATTATTTATTATATTGATTATTCAAAATTTTGTACAAAATAATGAACAACCTTATTTATCATTATGTTTTTTGATTTCTTTCTTTTCTTAAATTGGTAGATTACTTTTATAAATATTTGATTCTTCAATTTAATCAAGAATGATAAGATTATCAAATTTTAATTATAATTCAAACACTTTATTAAGAGGTAGAATATTTGTATTATTAAGTAGTTCTTTTATATATTTATATACTTCTGAATCTTATGTTTCAGCAGCAATTCCAATATCATTATGATTTGCTCCTTCTACTTTAATGAATGCAAATAAATTCTAACAACTTTTTGATAATTATTCAGAATGATTAATTTTTATAATTGTATCTTTGGTACCATGAAAGATGAGAATTGGAGCAGTGACTTTATTAATGATAGATTAATTAGAAAACTTATCATGTTCTGAATAGAATGAATTTCTATTGTCTATGATTCTTCCTAATGATGCTAATGGAGCTTATAGAATGATTCCAGAAAGTTAAAATTATGTTGCAACTTCAACAGTAGGATAAGAACCAATTGAGTATCCCCATAAAAATATGTATTCATATAAATGTTATGCAAGTGCCAAAACATTAGAAAGATCTCTTGATATGCCATATCTATTAGATAATAAAAATACTCTGATGGTTTCATAGTTTTTTTTGTGATTCCATATCCTGAATAATCATAACAAATCACATCAACTTAGTATAATTCACAAATTTTGGCACCCCATCTAGATGATTAAGCTAAATCTATTGCATTACTATGAGATAAGATGATGACTCTATCTGAATTACATGAATAATGAATTATAGGAACATATGATACAATTACATTATTTTCAACTTCTTTTAAAATGGAAACTCTATATTAAAGATTGTAACATTAATTTAAATCAATCCAATTATCATTAACTTGCATACTGAATTCTAATCCATTAAAATCTAAACTATTTTTTATTTGATAAGTTGGTTTTGGTGGTTAAAAAATTAGATTATGTTCAATGACTTCAGTTAAACCAAATTTATTGATTAAAGACATTTTCCAAGATTCTCTAACTTGTTTATTATTGTTCTACATGTATATTATAAATATATATAAATAAAAAATGTGTAATCACTTTTTTTAAGTAAAAATGTCCTTTATGACTTTAAACAACAAATCAATATTATTATTCTATTATGCTGATACTTCAATATATTAATAAGATCTTTGTTTAGCCCAATTATAACCTTCATTTTCAGACATACTTCTCTTCTCCTTCTTATTACCTACAACTAATATGGGAATATTGGCAGCTCCATAATCATTGGCTTCTCTAACCCACATATCTAGTGTTTCTAATGTTTTACGAGTAGATAAATCAAAAACTAACATTATCATATTAGCATCCTTATAAAATTCATTTCTAACTTCTACAAATTCTTATTGTCCACTAAAATCCCAAAAGTTTAACTTTATATATTAAATATTTACAGATATATTTGATGATGGTTGTACATGTTTAAAATCAACTGCTATTGTTGAATTATATTTTTCATTAAAATCACCATTTATATATCTGTCCAATATAGATGTTTTACCAACAAATGGATCACCTAATACTAATATTTTATATTGTTCATAATTATCTTTGTTTTTGTTTATCTTAATTGTTCCTGGTCTAATGTGAAAATTCAATTTACTTAGTTATTGTTCGCATTATAATAAATAATCTAAAATATTTGTGATATACAAATTAATACCACGCATTCATATTTTTAAAAATGAATAAGAAAGAATTGAGAAAACTTAATACTCGTATAGATAAGGAAGTCCTTATTCTAACAGGTGGAGTTTATCCTGTTGGTCTTATTACTTAATAAAAACCCATCATTCATTAGAAATGGGCACAAGAAGAAATATTATTAAACAATACTCTTATCAAAAGAATTAATGCTTGGGTACCTGAATAAGAGAAAGGTAAACTATTTCCAGGAGAAAAATTTAACATTGAACCTGAAATTGTTGAATTTACAGAAAATGATATTGTGGTTGATGAAAATTGGGATTATGAAGAAACAAAATACTTATTTTAAGAATTAAGACATTTTAATTATAATTTCATTATTCTTTATGATAGATATCAATATTAAAATAAGAATAGAGATATATATCAATTAAAAGATAGATATTATAGTGTAATGAGAGAGATCTTATAAAAGAGAAATCAAACATCACATTAATTATATAATTATGTTTATGATGAGGAATATGATAGATTTAGAAATATGGAATTAGAAAAATATTTAAAAAGAACTAAATAAATATGTGATGATGAAAAAAAAATATAAGAAGATTTAAGAAAATTAGATTAATTGATTAAAAAATAAGAAAAAGAACATCGTAGTATAACTAGATGTATTGGAAGTGCTTAAGAAACTGATGTAAATAAATATATATATGTATATAATAGGAAATAGATGAAAATAGATTATAAACAATTTTAGAAGTTGGTTAGAAAAATGAAGATTTAAAAAATAAAACTTAATAACATATAGTGTATCTTAGAACAAAATGGATTAATGAAGTATTACCTATTCCAAGTTCAGTTAAAGATAAATTAGATAGATAATTAAAAGACATTATTCCTCAATCTAAATTAGTCTTAAATTAAGAATTAGAGTCTTAATACTCTCAATTAAGAAAGTTTTATTTAGAAGTGTTAATTAAATAAAGATTATAAAAAAAGAGAGAAGCAGATAAAAAATAATTAGAAGATAAAATTAGAAAACTTAAAACATAATTTGATTCTTAACCTCCAAGTGATATTAAATAAAAAAAATGATAGATTCAAATTTGTTTTCTTTATAATTTAACTCATTTTTAATTAATTTAAATTAAAGAAATATTTATTATATATATAATCATTAATATCATCCTCTTTTAAACATTATTTTTATTGTCTAACTTATATTATTTTTGATATTGATTATACTTTCCTTAACTTACACTCCTTACATTTTAATATTTTATCTAATTATTCTAAATTGTTCTGAAATTGCATTCTTCTATTAAATTAGAATTTATTTAATTGAATCCATTTATTAACTAATTTAATTTTTTATTTAAATTAAACTAAGCTTTAATGAATCATAAATATTGTTAAATATAATCTTAATAGCATTCAATTAATCAATCATAGATTATTTTATTTAATTTAAGAGTTCTTTCATTTTAATTAAAATAGCTAATGCTGCTTCTTTGACTATTATACATTGACCTACTATAATATTTCTCAAAATAACAATATAATTGAAAATTATTTATTTAAAAGATAGGAATGCTTAGATGATATAATTCTTAATTTATATTAAAGGACCAATCATTATTCCATAAACATATTTAATCTACTACCAAAGTAATTAAATTTATGCCTTAATAAATTGTATTAATAATTTAATAAAATTTGTTATTTTAGTCATAACAAATAGGATTGACTCTTTCAAAAATTGATATGCCAATTTTATTTTATAAATTCCATAATTTATTATTTATATTACTTTTTATTTGATTTTAAGGTAACTATCTCTAATTTTTACTGCAAATAATCTTATACTTGCCCAAGCAGGTAATACATAATCATATTTAATCATATCTTTGAAATTTATTAATGATTAAACAATAATTAAAACTACTTTTTTGATGATGCTATATAAATAGATAATAGTTCTAACAATTGGCTATATGATTTTTAAATTTATAATTGTAATTATCTTCTTAGATTATTTAATAATAATATTTATGAGTCTTTCTATTTTTATAAACAATTAAATGAGTTTCTCAATTATATAAACAATACCATTATATAACTTATTAGGTATTACATATATAATAAAATCAATTCCTACATCAATAATTTTGTTTAATTATATATAAGGGTATGAGATGATATTGAAAAATATTTCAAAAATTTTTTCTATTAACCATATAATTGGATTGAGTATCCTAAATGCAATTATAAATTTTACTATAATCTTACATTGTAATTCTATTATCCATTTTATTAAGTTCTTTATAGACTTAAATAAGAATTTTACAAATCTATTAATTAATTATCCACCTAATTTTAAAAGTTTCTTGATATAATTAAAGGCTATTTTTATGTTTTTTAATATTATCTAAGCTATTCTTTTCATCTTTTCTTAGATACGATTCATCATCAAAACAAATTTTTCATATCTTTTAGCACTATTTTCCCTCATTTTATTATAGATTTATTTGGCTTTCAAAGTCAGCATTTTTCCTCTTTTCTAAAGTAACTTAAATACTTTAAATGATACTTTCGATCCATTTTTATAAATATTCTCTAATTTTACTTTTAACTTAATAATGACTTCATCTCTTAAATAAATTAATGCCAATTTAATGAAATCGATACACTTTAAAGTTATATCAATAATAAAATTTTTTATTTTTTTTGAGACTTCTTTTATCTTGAGACTGACAGGTGAGATTACATTTTGTTTTAATTATTTGTATTTTCCTAAAAGGAAATCTATTAAGAGAAGGGAAAAATCGATTAATTTGTTTTTAAGATACTTCATATATCTTATTAATAATTTAATCTAAACATTAGTCCAATTCAAAAATTAAAAAAATTTCCTTTCCAAATAGTTTAAGATTAAACAACCATAATAATTAGATCCATGATATATTTTAATCATATAATGACAAAATTATATAAACAAATAATAACTAAGGTTTACAATTTTGTTCTTTAATGGTATGAATACTTATTCTTAAAAGAATTTTGATATCTTTTAAAGTATTTATTAAACATAAGATAAAAACTTTATTATCTTTTCTTTTAGATATATTGTTAATCTTTTAATTGCCTTATAAATTATTAATATGATCCTTTTTACATTAGAAATTATGAATTTTAATATTTTTTTTATCACTCTAATTAATGTTAAAACTTGTATCTTGATAAAATTTGATAATTTTTTGTACCAATAATCACAAAATGTGAATAGAGCTATTGATTTCAATTTTATCCATTAATTTATGATAATAACATATTTTATAACAAATGCTATAAAAAAGTAAATGATTAATAGTTTCACTTATTAATATTTCTAAATAAGGAATTCTAAAGTTGCATTTAGACAATCCCTCAACTTTGCTATTAATAATGAGCATTTTATATATATCCAATTTTAGACAAAATAATAATTTACAATAATGTATTATTTTGTCTTTCCATATGCTATGACAGTGAAATCTATAAATGAGATAAGAGATTTCCAAATATAAATTGATAAATTTTTTATTCCAATCACTAATTCTAAAATAATCATGCAAGGAAAAAGTAAAGCAAACAATATTACATTAATTATATTTTTGTAAAGAGGATCTCCTTTTTTAATAATTCCTCCAAAGAGTTTATTTTATGCCTTAATTTATTAGATTTTGGCATCATTTAGTTCATTGATTTATGCATTATGAGCATCGATATCCATTTAAATTTATTATATTAATATATTTCAAATTAATAACTCTATTAAATGAAAATTGCCACGTCTGATTGTGTGCTCATATAGAATTTAATACATAAATCAATTGCATTAAATTGCAAACGTTTCATTTTTAACAAAATATAAATAATTTTTATTGATAGGCTAATCAATATAAAAAATCAATCTTCATATACTCTTAATTATTTTCAAATAATAATAATATTGTTAAAAATAAACATATGGGAATTGTTTATTGTATTAGTATAATTTAATAATACTAATATATATGAATACAATTGTATAAGTAAATTTAAATAAGAAATTATATTCTCTTAATAATGATTATCTTTATCTCTAATAGTACTTAAAGATAATATTAAAGCAAATTACTTTTTTTTATATAATAAATTTCAGTTATAACAATATAAAGTTTTAATGATATATGTTATCAGTAGTAAAATATATATTTAGTATTTACGTAAAATAAATTTCCTAATTAATTATTAAGATTTAACAAAATCGTTTTTTTAGCATTTTTAAATCATTTTGTTTTTGACAAATATTGATTTAATTTAAATAAACCTAATCTCTACTCTCAACCTCTTCAATATATGTAATCTAACGAAATTCTTGCAGTCTAATCAAGTATTTTGTTTATCATAACTTAGACTTTCTATAACCTTATTGTATGTTACCCTAAATATAACACACTGAATTGCCTTTTGAAGATGTCCACGAATAACTATAAATAAGTAAATTTTAATACTAATTATGTAGTTGAGAGCGTTGAAACATTTAATTTTGATGAAGTTGATGCTCAGAACGATTATTATAATCCAATTTAAAAATTACCTTTAAAAAAGCCAAGAAAAAGAAGAAGAAGACAAGCTGTTCATGATAAAAGAAGAAAAAGACCTATATCAAAAAAAATTGTATTACATTTTTTATTAACTTTAATTAGAATAGAAAGCATCATGCTATCCCATTCAATTATTAAGAAGATAGACAGATTCTTCTATTAGTCTTAGAAGTAGGTCCTAAGTTCTATAAAATTGCCAAAAATTTTCCAGGAAGGACTTTGAGTATGGTGAAGAATAGATATTATAAGACTTTGCGCTTTTAATGGGATGTCATATTGGGACAGTAATACATTATATTAAGATTTATAGGGAATATGGATACATGAATGCTTAGGTGACTGAAATTTAAAATTAACAAAATATAGAGTATTTTGATGATGTTTATGATAATGATTTCTATTCATAATTTTTATTTTGAAATTTAATTATAATTCTAATTCATTTATATAATATTCTCAAAAAATACAGTCTATGTTTTAAATAAACTATTAAAAATGGATGAAAAAATATAAAAATAACTAAATTTTTCAAAAGACTTCTGAAATTAGTTCACTTTATTTTTAACCACCCACAAATTCATAATTCTTGAAACTCATTGAAAAATATGCTTCTCCTTGTGATATAGATCTAATGGCAGTGGAATATCCAATAGATTCCTATGATGGAATAGTAGCAGTAATAATAACTCTATTGCTATTTTATGATCCTGCTCTATTTTAATCTTATTTAATTTCAATAATCTTTCCTCTTCTATGTGAAATCAAATCATTAATGATTCTCTATTACAAAGAATTAGGACAAGATATTTCAAGATCCATTATTGGTTCCAATATAATTGGCTAAAATAAATATAATATATACTTTAAGTAAAGGATGTATTTCTTACATTAATTTTTATACTGCTCGACCAATTGCTAAATCGGTTGTTCGTTTAAGAGAAAAAGCACCATCCAAAATAGTAGCTTTAATACCTTACATTTAATAAGATTTCAAGAATCCTCTATTAAGAGAAGCTAGAATTGATTTTTCTAATTGATAAAACATAGGAAATTGCAATGAAGATATATGATAAGCCTTTTCTTCTCCATGATCATCAATAATAGTATCTACTTCTATATTTTTACAAGGATTCTTAATGTATTTAACAGATGTTTCATTTTTTTAAGTAGCCACCTATCTAAGTTAAGTTTCTTTGAATTATTTATATAGGATATCAAATTCATTTTCTCTATCAAAATCAAAAATAACTTCATTTTCTTACTATTCACTTGGTTATAATTTTAATTTCAATTTAAACCATAAAGGTCTTCCTTTAAGAATATCTTAATATTTGACTTCCAAAACTCCTTCCTCACTAATGCTCTCTTTGTATTCAACTTATAATTTCTTAAGCTTAGTATTTAGACCAAAATCTTCCTTCAATCTTTAAACAACAATTTCAAGATGCAATTCTCCTTATCCACCAATAGTAATAAGTGTCTCATCAGCTACAGTAATCTTCAAACTCTCATCTTCCAATTATAACTATTATAGAGCCTAATCTAATTTGAGTTTATCTTTGGCTGATTCATATTCTAAATTGGCAAAGAAAACACACTATGGTAATTACAATTACTATAATACAAATCTAAATATGAATCAAAAGGATTTACCTCTCATCATTTGATCCAATTAAGGTAGAACCAGCAACTACTTATTTAGATTAAATTGCAATAATATCTCCAGCTTAAACATTATTTATAGGAACATATCTATTAGCTCTTACTCTATAGAGATTGCCAACCTTTATAAGTTCATCCTTTGTACTATTGCTGTAATTTTATTTTTAAGTCATTTCTCCAGAATAAATTCTAGTAAATCCAAGTAATCCCAAATCTTAATCTTAAATAACCTTATAAATAAATGCAGTTAATTTTTCACTCTTCTCCAATTTTCTTTTGTTATTTGGATTATTGATATCAAAAATTAATGGTCTTTCAATTGGACCTGGCAATAATTAATGAACAGCATCTAGAATTGGTTATATACCTCTATTTTTAAGTGCTGATCCAAAATATATAGGACAACATTCATTATAATGTTTATTAATAATTTATCTAATTGATTAAAGTAACAATTATTAATTTAACAATTCTTTAGAGTCTTCTAAATAAAGTTCAGCAATATTCTCATCAAATTCAGATACAGTAGATAATAAATCATCTCTGGCTTTAATGGCTTTATCATAATAACGATGTGATTTATCCACATCTCTAAATTCGACTTCTGATCCATATTTATCTAACCATACAATTTCTTTAAAGGTTAAGAGATCAATAACAGAATTGAAATAATCAATTTCTCCAACTGGAATCTACATTCTATTATAATATAGAAATTAATACATAAATGGTTTGATATTTAATCTGTCTTTCATAGATTAAATTGTATATTCTAATGATGCTCCTTATCTATCCATTTTGTTAACGAATGCAATTTTTGGAATATTAAATTTATTAGCTTATAACCACACTGTTTCTGATTGTGTTTAAACACCTGAAACTCCATCAAAGATTGCTATAGCTCCATCTGTAAAAATTAGAATATTACAAATTGTTTACCTAAAACTCTAAGTGATCTTTCAACTTCAGCTGTAAAATCAATATGTCCAGGTGTATCTATTAGATTATATTAATGATTTGCCCAATTAAAAGATATAGCAGCAGATCTAATAGTGATTCCTCTTTGTCTTTCTTATGGCATGAAATCCATGGTAGTAGTACCATCATGAACTTCTCCAGGGAATGGAATGGCTCCTGCATAAAATAACATTCTTTCTGTTGTTGTTGTTTTACCTGCATCAATATGTGCAATAATGCCAAAATTTCTGATTTTTTCTTGAGTAGTAGTTGGTAAATTCTTCAATCTTTCAGCTCTCTCTTAATTGATTCTATCTCGAATAGAAGAATAAGTATAGATTCGCTTCTTTAGACAAGTTCGAAGCATATAAATATTATAATAATAATAAATAATAAGACAAACCATAAATAAAATAATCTCTATAGATTATTCTTAAAAACCATGTTATTATGTTTTGTTGTAATTACTACATATTAATATGATGTATATATTAAAAACAATTGAATTTGATATCCATTTATTCTGTTGATAATTTAATTGCGGTAATACAATAGCAAATATTGAAATTTTGTATAAAAAATAAGCATTATTATTATTACATTATACTACACTAAAAATTTTAATATGAGATAAAATGAACTCAGAAATATCAATTTTTATTATTTAAATTAGATTAGAAGAAGTTTTAAATAGCATTTACTTTGATGTTCAATATATATATATGGATTTAAATTTTGACATTTCATATTTTAAACATTTCTTTTTCATCTAAAAAGAATACAAATTTCTTAAAAAATCATATTGAATTATTAATTATTATTTGAATAGGGAAGTATAAAAATGAATTGTATTTATAATTATTAATAATTTGAAATCCAAATATATAGAATAATATATTATTTTTCTATATATATTATCATTATCATTTAGAATCGGTTGGAAGCAATACTACTTTAGTGGATCCTTATTGTCCCAAAGTAGTGATGGTGTCTAGATATCTAATTTACATGGCTGCTTTTGAATCTAAGAGTTCTGCTGCCTATCTCATAAGTTTAGCAGATTAAACATCCCCTTAAGCAGAAATGACTTTAGCTTAAGCTGCTCTCTATTCCTTAGCTGCCATAGACAAAGTATTCTATAAATCAGCATTCAATTAAATATCTTTTATTAACATGTTCTCAATATCAATTCCCCATTCCCAAACATGTTCATCTACAAATCCTTCAATTTGTTATTAAACTTCAGCTCTCTTTTCTAATAAGTCTTGTAGAGTGTAAGATCCAGCTATGCTTTTGATAGTAGCCAATGTTAATTGAGTTACAGCTTAATGTAAATCATTAATGTAAAATATGGATCGTCTTGGTATCACTATTCTATAATAAACAGTTGCATCAATGCTCACTAAAATATTGTCTTTAGTCATCACTTATTATCTAGGACAGTCAATCATTTAGACTTTGCAATCAACTTTTTAAATGGTATCAGTACAAGGATTGATGTAAATTAATCCAGGTTGAACTTATATAATAAAGTTTCATATCTACCTGTCTTAATGTATTTTCCAAAACGTAAATATACTCCAACAAAACTTTGTTCCACTTAAACATATGGATATTCAACAAAAGGATTACATGGACAAACAGCTTTACAATTTCCACAACACTCTCCACAATTGTATAGATATGATTAATATGAACCACCTAAATCTAGATTCTGTTCTTAATTTTCAGGTAACTCTTCTCTTGGATAACGAGGAGCTTTATAACCTAACAAATAAAATCAAATTAATAATTTACCAGGTGGTGGAATATTATAATCACGATGTTATTGGGGTGGAGGTTATTATTATTGATACATAACTTAGTTTTGTTAATACATAATATAATAATTATATAAATATATATATATAAAAATAAGAAATAAATCACCTTAAACTAATTACTACTGGTCCAGAGTAGAAAGGAGCATATCCTAAAGGTAATTCAGAACCTTCAATTATCATATTTCTAAAAAATTATTCATGTGTTTAAATTGAATATCTATATAAATAAATTATATTATAAAATACCGTTCTTCATCATCATTAGTAGCAAATAATAATTCCATCTAAAGATTAGCTTCTATTCCTCTAATAACTTCACTATCAAATTTGAATACTTAACATTATATATCAGTATAAGAATGTCTATAAACTGTCAATTTATTCTTACCAGGATCATAACCCAAAGACCATAATAATAAATTACTTTACATAGCTGTATACCATCCTTATTCATTACCCATTCCAATATAACAATCATTTATACCTTTCAATTCTTCTAATAATTCATTATCATTAATATTCAAATGACCTTCAATTGAATAAAAATCTAAACTCAATTTCAATGCAGTTCTTATAGCTTTAGTAACTATATCTGATAATATTTAATCAATTCCTTTCATATATCTTTATTCAGATAGATATTTAGAATTCTGAAATAAATTAAATAGAACCTTCTAATTTAATTTGCTCTCATAATTAAAATCTAAATCACCCAAAGATACTTAATAAATATATAATATGGCTTTCTAAATATGATTATAAAATCCTTCTGATTTATTAGTATTTTATTATTATAATTTCTTAGTTTATTAAGGAATATCTTATGTAAAATCATCTAACATTCCCATTATATCATCTTCATCATGTTTAATTTAAACTTTTGTTTATGGTTTAATTTATATTTTTATTTCTGTTTATTAATCTAATTCATCATTCTTAAATAATATAAATTTATTTTTCAATTGAATACAATCTGCAAATGAATTAGGAAATTAATTTTCATAACCTTCATATTTACTTGATAATTCAACAATTGATTTCTTATTTTTATCTGTTATCTCTTAAAGTACATAATAACATAACATCCTTAAATATATTTTCTTAAATCCACTAACAAATTCAGTTGCTTCTATTGTACCTGTTAAACTTAATTAATTTTCCTCATAACTAGATATTGAAAATTGACTCTATAAAGTTAAAGCACTTCCAAAATATGATCCACAATCCTTAGCTTCAACTAATCTATCAACTTCTCTTGCTTCTATACCATGACAACTTGTAGTCTCTTATGATTCTAAACCCTTAAATTGAATAACAGCATATCCTCCTTAATATTCCAATATTTGTATCATTCCCAAATATTTCCCTATTCTTATCAAATAATGACTCCATAATGGTTGAGAACACAATAATTTATTGTATGCTTTACTTAAAAAAGCATTATAAATTGATCCCTCTGATGAATTTTCAATATGTTAATGAATATGGATTGTATTTCTAAAAGGTCTAAGAGATGCAAAATAAAATATAGGTAATCCCAAGAATGGCATATATGGACTATCTAAAATACTGGAAATTATCATAATTAAGAATGTTATTGGACACATTAATAATTATAATGTTGTAATAAATGCAGCTCCTTCTACTTTTTACTTCTTCACTGTTAACATCTTTTAACTAATCTACTTAAATTCATTATTACTTTGCTATAATCCATATTAATAATCGAGATTTCATTCTTATTCCAAATCTTAATATTATTTATACTAAAAATCCAATCAATTAACAATATGCCATTGAATAACTTGTATTGAATGAAACTATAAAACATACTAATTATTCAAAAAATAAATAATTAGGATTTGAATGTATTAAACTATACAATCTTATTATTGTTGTACATTCAAATAATCTTTAAGCAAAAATTCCTTCAAAATTATAATCCATCATAGAAATACATGCACATTCTATTATAGCATAAAATATTTTAAAGTATTTTACATATTATACAAATTTCATTTGTATTATGATATAACATAAATATATTGGAATAATAGCATAAAATAATTCTTTATAATGTGAAGATGCCAATATTCCACATAATATTATTGAAATTATATTCAATATAGAACTTAATAAATTATATAAAATATATGGTCTATCCAAATAATTCTACTTAAATATTTGCTTATCATTCTTTGGCATAGATCCAAAAATATTGAACATTTTAATATTGACTAAACAACCACTTATTATTATTGCAATTCTATTCTCATTTATAAATGACAATCCCAAACATATAGCAACCAATACAACATTCAATAATACATTTAAGTATGTTCTTTTCTAACTCCATTAGTAGGATGAACCCATTAAAAAATTAAATTGCTCTCCTACATATTCCAAACTAATTCAATTTATTTATTTACTTACAATTATGAAAACTATCCATACAATCCCATCCATATCAAAATAGGTGTAAAATAGTAAATATATCTGATTATATTGGCTATAATCATTCTATTAACATGTGTAAAAATCAAAATCAATTTCAAAAATAAACAAGCATATCTGGATCTAGAGTATCCCTCCAATTAAGTAAATCCAAGTTCAACATTTTATTCTCGAGGAAACAAGAAAAAAAATACTATTGCATCTAAAATTGTCCCATCATATCTGATTGCTGAAGCAGTTCCTAAAGTTTAAGGAATCAATAATCCAATCAATTATCCCAATTATGATCTAGTCTTACGATACTCTTCACTTATTAAGCAATTTAAGCTTATCTAAATAGTAACATTGATAATAGCAGGCACTATTAAAACAACAATGTAATTGTCTACAAATTTAGCAATTATGTAAGTTTGAATTACAGATACTAATTATACAATAACCTACTCATTAATTTAAATTCTACCTATATGATATATAGCTTTGTTGTAAGGTTTAATTAGTGTCCTCCAAATAGAGAGGCTAAACAAGCATTGAAAAAGTAACTTCTTTTCTGTAAAGTGAGAACTGGTGCAGTTTAATTCATTTTTTAATTAATTAATTAATAATATATATATATAGTAGAGATAACTATCTTAAACACATAATAATATTGTTGAAACTTATGATATTATATTCCATTACTCTATTTAATTGTTTATATATTTGTGGAATAAAACTAACTGCATATACTTTATCAATTATTATAAATAAATGAAAATTCTTTTTATCTGAAATATTATAATACTTCATTATACATAAAACATTTATAATTAATAGAAAAATATATTTTGGATTAAATTTAAACCTAAAAGTATATTAAGAAAATATATTCTTAGAATTGGAAAAAAAAACATTTAAATTTATTTATAACAGTTATTTCATTAATCTTATTATAGAACTTTAAATAATATTAATGTGCAAATTAACAGATATATTATGAAATTCTTTTTAAAAGTCAAAAATATATAATAAAATATTTGTACTTAATATGGATTATAATACTTGATGACAGAATGTTATTATATACTAATTAAATGAAAAATATCTTTACCAACTGAACAGTATTAATTAATTTATAATTTATATTAAAGACTGTATTAATATATACAAATAAAAAAGATTTTCTAATTATTCAATAATATAAATGCCGATGCAGTAAAGAACTAAATTCATATTAAATTTAATGTAAGATTATGGGGACGAATAAAATTATATCAACTTCCTCTAGTTAGAGAATGGTGTAGGATCAATTGATGAAAACTCTTCTTCGTTACTTCAATTGAATCATGAAAATCCATCTCTAACTTAGATTATTAATCTAAATGGTTATCCCTTAAAACAATAACCTAAGAAGATTAAAAAGAAGAAGCGAGTGGACTTTCATTATAAAAAGAAGAGAAGAAACATTAAAACAATAGAGATAAATAATCATAATCCATTTAATGTAGAGGAGGACAAAAAAATCCTATCACTTGTACTTCAATATGGTCCAAAATTTGATGATATAGCTAAATACTTTAATGATAGAAATCCAAATGCCATAAAGAATAGATACTATAAATACCTTCGATTTAGATGGGATTATTATATGGGGAGGTATGTCTTTTGTTTATATAATTATTAATAGTGAGTACAGAAGACTGAATTGTAAACGAGATAATGAGAAAGTGGAATGTAGTGATCTAACTTAAATGATGGATGAAATGAATATCTTTCCAGAAATTAAAGATTTATTATCCAAATTCGTATACACACTTCATTCTTATTTGAATTGATTACTCATATATATGTGTATTATGCATTTAGTAAATTTGTGATTTTGAATTCTACATTGATCAAACATTGAGTAGTTGAAAAAATAAATTATAGATTTCGAATCAATACCCTATGAAATACTGAGTATGTTGGTTAAGATTTAGAATAGATTTGAGTAAAGCTGATAGGAAAATAAGGGATAATCTAATTTGTTTAATTCAATTAGGATTTGAAGTGTGAATTAGGGATGTTGGGATGAATTGGAATAAACGAATTAGGTTGTATTAAAATATATTTGGGATATATTATGTAATTATCAAAGAAATGTATTGGTATTTATGAATGAATTATATATATATTTATTAAGGAATTTGATTATTAATTAAATGCAAGAGAAATTAATAGCTGGACTGACATCGAGTTATGGCAGTTTGTTAGGTTAATAGTATTTGAAGTGGTTGAAGATGCCTCCTTCTTATTTAAGAGTGATGCAATCCATTGATTATAGAAAAGGGATGTATGCAGCTTAACAAATAAAGGCAAATCAATAGATAATGCTTATTTCAACAGAGAAATGTTTTACAAGTGTTGAATTTGTTGGTTGTGATACTAGAAAATCTTAAGAACTTCAGGTATGTAGTTGCAAATCAATTAGACCATAGCATCATAAATTGCTCACAAAATATGTGGTGGAAAAGTGGAATAGTAGTATTTGGTCACAGGTTTGCTCAAAATAATTATGCAAGTATTTGTGCATCAAAAAGACCAATCACTAACTCACTCTCCATTTGCAAATATGATTTAACCTCCTAATACTCCTTTATTATGGCCATAAACTGTTATTGATTTAATATCATCAAGAAATTTGGCTTCCTTGATTGAAGGTACTCTCCTTCAATGTTAATCAATGTATAATGAATTACAATTGAGCAAAGTATATGGTTTAACAGCACTTGAATTTTTGAAATTGTTCCAAGCTGTCAGAGCTTCCTTAATTTGCTTCAATCCACAGTATGACCAATATCAATACATTCTAGAAAACCAAAATACTTTGATATGCAATCAGTCTAAATAGTATGTCCATTAGTTTATCAATTTGATCATTCCTTTGATCCTAATTGTTATTTAGATGGTTGTTATTTGAGTCATGAAAACATGAGTTTTGTTGATTTTAGTGCCAAAAAACAAATTGAACCAGGAGATGTATAATAATATAATTTTTAATAGAAATTAACTATTAATTATGGTAATTTGAGTAATCATGATCTATTAATGAGACATGGTATTATGGTAGATGATAATCCATATAATGAAATGCCTATTGATTTAGATTTCACTACAGCTATAAATTATACTGAATAATTATTTGATTAAAAGTAAAAATGGTTAAGATAGAGTGAAATAACAAATATTGAAAGATAATCATTATTTACTAATAAAATTAATGTACAATTATTACAGTAATATTTTTATCTTATATATATTTAGATATTTAAGGATTTACTTTTTAACTGAATAAGAATATTCTAAAAATCCATATCTTGAATTTAATTCATTTTAAGAAAAAGTCAGTGAAGAAAATGAATTGTTAGTCAAATAGTTTATGATTCAAAACATCAAGAATGTTTTATCCACTTATAAATAAATATCTAAACCTATTGGTAAAGAATTATAGGATTTATATAAAATATAAAAGGATGAGATGACCATACTATAAAATAATCTAACTTTTTTTAGTAAATGAGTGCAAATGATAAAAAAATGTTAAAATTATTTATAATTAATAAATTGATGAGACAATCTAATAATGAAAAGACTCTTCCTACTCAAGGAAATACTATTGATAGACAATTCTATTATAATCTCCTCTCTCTTGAGAAGGCTATTATTAAAGAACCACAACTTGATGCTGTACAATAAGCATTAGCTATGTATAGGTAATAATTTTAATATAATCATCAATAGAAAATGTGTAGAGTATTTTGATAATATACAAGATCCAATTAAATATTATTTTTTGGATAAAATTCAATAAGCTTTGAGTGAAACTAAAACACTTATGCTTATTATTAATTCTAAATCTGAATTAGAGTCTTCTAAAACTATTAGTCCTGTTAAGCGATGCTCCATATCAGATCTACCATCACCATAATTATCTGATTAATAGATTATGGATAAGAAACTAAGATCTAAATAAGTCACCTTATAAATTAAATTACATGAAGCTGCAGATTAATAATGTAAAATCTATATCATATATATATATACTAGCTGAAATACTAAATACAATGGTAACTGATTTTACGACTAATACTACAAGTACAGATTAAAAGGTTAGATAGGATTTAAATTAATAAGCAGACATAATATAAGCTAGAATACTCAAGAGATAGCAAAGTACAAAAATGAAAGGTTGCTCATCAATGCAAACATTGTTATGATTATTATTTATAAATAATAAATTGTGATTTCAATTAATTAAATGATAAATATTATAATTGGAATAATAAATTCAATTTAGATAAGAAAAAATCTATTTTAATAATATAAAACGACTTTTATAAATATTTCTATTTCTTTTTTTGGTGTAAAGATTGTTATGACATACAGATGGAAATGATACTAAAATAATGGAAAATAGTTTTGTTTATTTTCAATAATTAATAGAATAAAATGGATGGAATTTATCAATTATATGGTTCTCTAGTATTTTAAACTGAAAACTCAAATTAATAGTTAATAAAATTGGAGAGAAGATTATTATATCTATTTTTATACTCAATTAATTAATAATATAATTTAATACATTCAATTACTCTTTATGACATTGATTACTGTTCTTATATTTATCAAACCAAGGATACCATAATATAGAGCTGTCAAAATTAATAATTTAAACCCTTATATTAAATATTAAAGGAAGAATCCTAATAAATAAAGTATCATGAATTTTGGCATTATTGATTTCCATTAAATTTATATACCTGATTTATGGATTATAATAAATGACACAAATATTCTAACTGACATTGATAGAATATTTGAGATAATAATTCCTGATGATCCTAATTGAACCATTATGATTAAAGATAAACTGAATATATATATGATAATAAATACCTATATATAATTGTTTAAGCTATAAGTAAATATCTATACCACCACATATCTTTTGTAGCTATTGTAGAATTCACATAACTTTCTGTAATTCCATTTATACCCATAATCCAAATGTATATACAATAAAATTACATTGCCAATGTACATGAATCTGAAGTCCATTAGGAACCATAAATTTGCAAGAATGCAGAAGCACAAGGAATACCAGCACTTATAATACTTATTCCAACTAAATTCAAAAACTTCAAATATTTCTATAACAATTAAGTTTATTCATCTTAATTGATTTTTGGGAATAGATTATATGCTATCTATTCTATGTTAACATATATAAAACGAGGGATTATTGAACCAATATGACTTATTAAGGTATACTCTCCTGAAATGATGGGATTATTGTAAATAACCATGACTATTTTTTCTAATTCTTATAATAAAAATTTCATAAAAGCCATCAATGTAAATTGATAACCTATTGACTTCATCTCTGCTACAACATATATTCCTTCTTTATTTATTTATTTAAATTTGGTTTAATTGGATAATGAAAATATATAAGCAAAAATGAATATTGAATATATAACCTAAGCAATTCCAAATCCAATAATAGTTTCTATTTAAAAGAATTCTCTTGTATATTTCCCTAATAATACATAGAGGACTATTGTTTTCATAAATACTGCTAAACCTTCTGCTTTAGCAACTACATTCAATTTTAATTAAATAACCCATTGAACAGCATAAGGTTCAGAAGCTCCATCAATTACTAAATTTCAATATGAATAATTACCTGCAGATATTCCATAAAGAAATGCTGTTTTGGCAAATGAAATACTTTGATTGTAACTCATGATTAAGACTGTGATTGGTGCAATACAGATTGTAATGAATAATCCAAAATACATTAGATTGACAGCTGATTATGTTTACTCTTAATTAGGGTCCTTTAATCTTGAATATGTTTATTTCAACACAATCTTTAAATAGAAGAGAGTGATATTTGTCAATAAATCCAAATTAGTTGTGAGTCCTCTCTATATATCAATAAATGAACTTACCATAAATGCCTGGTTCTAAGTCTCGTAAGACCAATATATTTAAAGTCAAATCAAATAATCTTGATAATATTTTTAAAGCAAATAACCAAGTTAATTGTTTTCCTGCTTTATTAATCATTTAATTATTTAATGGAGTACATCTAAAAAATGATAAGACCTTTTACAGATCGTTCTAATTACTACGTGTAGCAACCTAACTCTTTTAAAAGGAAAGAATCAAAACACACTCATGATCCATAATCAGTATTACTATATATCAAGCAGATCTTTTTCACTCTTCAAACACAATAGGTTTATTAAGTATTCTAATCATTTTAGAATGTAAACATGTCTTTTCTTAATCCAAATTATTTTTCAGATATTCAATCTGATCTCAATCCAGAAATGAGAGCTTAAATGGTAATTCTCTCTTTATAACCTTAATAGATAGATGAAGTTCATAAGTTATGTACAGCACATAAGGCTTAAAGAAGAACTTTCCATCAAACCATTTATTTACTAGATGTTTATTTAAGTACAAATAGAATATTTACCGCTCAAATCGATTCTATATATAAGACATGTTATTTTATAGCTTCAAAATATGAAGAAGTATTTTATTAATATATATTAGATTTATCCAAGTCCATTATGGAGATATACATATGATAGAGATGAAATGTAAGAGATATTTTAGATTGAAAAAGAATTATTATCTTTATTAGATTTTAAATTGGTTACAGCATCCTCTTATGTTTGGTTAAATTATTATTGGACCATAATTACAATAGCAGAGAAAACATAAAATTGGTTAACTTATTCCTTACTCTTGTTGGATGTTGCTGTTTATAATATCAATATCATAAAATATGAACCATCTAAAATTGCTTGTGCTTCTCTTTATACAAGTGCTATAATGTTAAATATATAAATGAATTGGAATAGTTTTGCATCTTAATTTGGACTCCATTTCTAACATGAAATTAAAGTAATCATAAAATTTATAAAACTTAGGAAATATCTAATTTAATTATGATAACTTTAAAAGACAGTGTAAATTAAAAAAGAGAAATTGTTAAACATATGTAATTGTAGAAAGATAGAGAATTTTATTGAACTAACTTGTGTATTACTATATATAATTTTATTATAAATATTGAAGATAAATATAAAGACTTTTTTAAAAAAAAAAAGAATAATCAAATATCATAAGATTTTTATATCTTTTAATTAAGTAAAAATATACAAAAAATAAAAGATAATTATATATTAAATTAATATTTAAATTAAAATAATAATTCATCTTAATGGTGCTGTTTCATTTCCTTAAGTCATTATGATTTTCTCAATACTTGTAAAGGTATTTCTATGTTAGGAAATGAAAAGTAATGATCTACTATCTCTTCCTCTAGTTTTTTCTCTATTTGAATCTTTTGTTGGTAATCTGATAATTTAAAGTTTCAAATAATTTTTTATTTTATAAAATCTTTCTAATATCCTTTATTTTTATTATTTTCTAAGTTTTAAGATTTTTTTCAAAGATGGAAATATTTTACAAATATTGGGAAAATTCATTAAAATGATTCCTCTAATGGGATCCAATTATTCATCCAATCTCTTAAAGAAAGCAATGAATATTTTTTCAATGAATAATAGTATTAATTTAATGATCAAATATATTATAAGGGTTATTAAAGAGATTTGTAAATATTTATGTATTTCCAAATTTTGAATTTAATACAATAGTAAAGATAGTAGTATAGTCATTGAAACATAATATGATATAGTTTATTCCAATACATTAAATTATGATTGACGATATGGTCTAAAAATTATAAGTGATTAATAATATAGGATTATTATAATATAAATTAAAATACCTTTGATTAAGATTTACTACTCTAAAAAATTGATTATCATTATAATTAACAATTTTTAAGCAATCTTAATAAGTTCCCAATAATAAGATTGATCACTATATTCATTAACCAAATATGATAATACATTTCTTGCATTTTTATTATACAAATTACCTTTATGATGATATAGATAATATAATAATAATAATGGAATCAATATTCCCAAAAAGGAAACTATTGGAATAATAAATTTGAATAACCAATTAGTGTGTTCTTGAGTATTGTAATAATAATAAACAGATGCTTATATGTACTAATCTCCAGAAATTTCTCTTTTAGAAATTAAAGATGTACCCCTAATTCAATAGTATATAAATATACCAATTTAATATTGATTGTTGATTGTAAATGTAAAGATATATGATGGTAGTATAAATAAAGGTTTGTGAAAACTTGGAAATCTTAGCCATGATAGAAATACAATAGATAGCTGTTGACAAGGCAAAATTAAAGAAGGGAATAATTAGAATCAAAATGAAATGACTATAAATAATTGGTATTTTTATGATTTGAGATGAAGTACAATCTATTTGATAAGTGACAAAACTAGAAGTTTCTCCTAGAAAATATATTGTATTTCTAAGATTTGTAAAGAAATCAATTTAAAAACTAGTTATTACCATCAAAATTTAAAAGTAATTGTTGCTCATTTTAATTAATATACTAGTCTAATCTAAACTAAAAGTATATAAGGTTTGATATTTCAAATATATTAATTTTAATTAGGCTAGTTTTTAAAGAGAATTATGAGTACTTTTAACTGTCATTATAATCAAAAAGGAAGACCTTATAATAATAATAATGTAATTATACCATAATGATGAAATCAATAATAACATAATTTAAACACTAAGATGTCCACAAATACTACATTATTTTTATCCAGAATTCAAAAAATATCCATCTCCTCTAATATTATAAATATCACATTCTTCACAAAGTGCTCCTATATTACCAATAGAACAAGAAACTTCTCCTGGAAACCATCCACCCAAACATTTAGATGGATATTTTTAACATCTCTCAATTAAATCAGATCTTAAATGTGGTCTCCAATAAGATTGCTATAATTAAAGCATAGCTCCATTAGTTTAATTGATTAATTTAATATCAATTCTCTTACATGAAGTACTATTGTATGCTACTGAATAATATCCTGCAGATGCATCACATCTAAGACATGAACCTAAATAAAAATATTCACCTATTTGGCATTTCAATGTTTCAATTGGAAATTGTAGATGATAATCATCAACAATACATGTACATTTAATATCAAGCATTATAGATTTTTAATTATCATATGGATTATGAACTATTAATAATTCATTCAAATCATAAGTTTGTTTTGTTGAATTAAATACAATTATTTAATATTAAGATAATAAACTTTCTTTATATTCATTATCATTTCTTTCATATGATATTAGACATTAAGTTTCATCTAAAAATATAATCTCTTCTTTAATATGATTATAGGCCTTCAATTCAATTGAGTATTAGATTGAACTAAATAATTTTGAAGTATAATTAAAGAATTCATATTCTGACAATTTAATACCAGTAGGTAAATAGAGCTTTTGTTTTAAGATAGGATTATCAATTACTTTATCTCCTCTAATTTATCTATGATTAGTGATTTCTTGATTATTAATAATTAATTATAAGAATTATGGTTACTCTGCTAAATTATTTGCAAAACTTGTTGCTGAATTTTAAGAGAAATACAATTTGCTTTAATTCTATATTAATGCATTTGATCCTAAATATATAGCACCTCCTGCTGATGCCTTATTTTCATAAAAGTAACAATCAAATAAATAAATATCTTTTTTATTCTCATAAAAGATTGCTCCTCCTGAATGTTTAGCAACATTTTCTAAGAATAATGTAGTCTTAATATAGAGTTGAATATTGTTAATAAAAATTGATCCTCCATAATTAGCAAAATTATTAATAAATTTACTTTTTTTTATTATAACTACTTAATCATTAATACTTTAATTAGATAAGAGATTAAAGCATCCATTATAGCCACAATTATTTTTATTTACAATTATGACTTAAAATCGTATTTTTGTAGTTTTATTCTTTGAATTTGTATTTAAGGATAAAATACCATTCTAACAGTTTTAACAAGTGATATTGTAAAAATTCATATTATCAAATTAAGCCGAAATACAATTTCTGGATAAGATTAATTATACTATGGCTATTTGTAGACTTTTATTACCATAAATATTGAAATTAGATAGATGCTCAATATAAATATATGTTGATGTATCTTAACTTATATCTTATATAAATAATAAGTTTAAACTATCAAATAATGAATTGTACACATTTGCTTTGTGTAATTTAAAAGATCTTGAATATTCAACATGTAAGATTGATTCATAAAAATATCCTTCAGCATTTAATCTACTAATTGCTATCTATCTTCCTTAAATGGTAATTAATCCATATAGACCCTCTGAATTTGTCAAACCATAATGTTCTAAGTATTTTTTATAAGAATTTTCCTCATTTATTATAGTGATATTATCCAAATTTACAGTCGAATTATTTTACTATTAATACATTTAATTGAATGAGATGATAGATTATTAAGAGGAGAATACATTAAAAAATTCAAGATTTCTTAGATTCATTACATTTTAGTATATAGATGGTTTAACATATAGGAATCCTCCTATGTAATTTGAACTTGAATTAGTTACATGTATATCATTCATATTCAATGATAGGTATGAGTATTATGAATCAATATATAAGCATCCTCCCATTCCTTAAGCAAATAGACTTTTGAATGTTGAAGTATTCTCAAATTTTAGTCCAATAATATTGAGAATTCCATTGAATTTTGTAATAATATAGAAGACTCCTCCATAATATCCAATTGAATTATAAAATTAAGAATCTCTTATTGTTAATTCTTGAACTTGTATATAGGCTAGACCACCATATGACATTTATTAAATATGAGTAATATCTACTTGTACTTTAACAGTTTCAAAATAAGATTCCAGATTATTTGTCATATTTGTAAAGCATTACTGAAAGTTTAATATTTTGGAGTTTATTAATAATAATGAATCAGTAGCATTTGATATAAGACAATTAAATATTGTCAGATTGTGAATCAATACTGAACTTTAAGGTACATTAAGAACAATGAGACTAGCAGTGTTAATTTCTGGATCTTGTAATTCTTGATTTTACCATATATTAACGAAATGTGAATTCTATATTAATATTGTTTATTCAATTTAAGATACAATTTGAATTATGGATGAAGACAACTTATATTATTTTTTTTTCATTTGTATATTCATTATTTAGAGATTACTAATTTTCTTATAATTTTATCTATTATTTATATCCTCAGAAATGGAAATGAAAATTGAATCTTCAGATATTTAATTCTTTATTATAAAATCATCTATAATCAAAGTGGAAGCACTGATTTCAAATATTTAACTTACTACTTAATCCATATTTGAATCAGCAATAATATGATTTAATTCTAGAATTTCAAAATTTTTTAAATAAAATTCATTAACACCACTAAGTCTAAGCATATTGACATTATTTAATTTAAAAGAATAACCCTAACAATAAAACACTTTCTCATATTAATTGCTAATTAAATTTGAAGCTAAAATGCCTTTAATATCTATATTTGAAACAACATAAATAATGTTATAATCATTTATTATTTCAATTAAATATGAATTCTCAATTGTTATTGTTGTAAATATCATATAATTGAAATTTAAGAATATCTAATTAGAACCATAGATATTTGATGATATTAAGGAGGAGTACATAAAATCACAATTTGAAATGATAAATTATTGAAATGTGGAACTAGATCTAATTCTTAAACCTGATGAATTGTAAAATTTGCAATTATTAAAAATAACATCATTAATATATGCTTAATTTGATTATGGTAATGTAAAAAGAATAGAATTAATAAAGGTTGAATTAATGAATGATACATCCGAAATTTTTAAGTTCCCTCTAAAATAATAATCATTAAAGTATAAGATTGATCCATTTTAAAAAGTACAATTCAATATATTCAAATTAATTATTTCAATATTTTAATATTAAATATTTTGTGTAAGTGTAAGAAAATTAGTATTAATAATGGAACAATTAACAAATGTTAAATTTTGAATTATTATCTAATAAAAATTGATATTGTTAGAATTAATTAAATTAATAAAGGTTGTATTAAGTAAACTTATATTAGATATGATAACATTAATTAATGATATTAAATTAGGATTCTATATTTCTATTTGATAAGCTCTTCCAAATTGATTGTTGCTAGGTGGTATCAAATTTAAATCATAGGCTAATTCTGGTTTAAAATACGAGTCCATAATGGTTACATTAATTAAATATAATTCAAAGGAATCTATATTCACAGTCTATAACTTTGAATTAAGATAAATAGAAAAGTTTAATTATATATTTTGAATGATCAACCTCTACAAGCTATGAAATTAGACTAAACCAAAGGTAATAGTTTAATAATCATTATATTTTAATCCATTAAATATGATTTCTGCTCTTTATAATGTAAGTATTTGATATACATAATAATTAATAAGGATATCTATTGAATGGAAGGATGTACTAAAGATAATGTGTTATGAAACATTTAATTGAAATGTTAAAATACTTACTCCTTTTAAGATCATATATTCATATTGAGTATCTTCAATACCGGTTAGATAATCTTTTAGACTTGCTAATGTGGATGTAATCTAAACGTTATGGAATATATTATACAAAAGATAACTAAATTTAACATTTAGGTATTGTTGAATTACATTATCTAACATGACCATAATAATTATCAATAAATAGAGATTCTCTATTTACTTTTTGGAGACATTAAAATCCATTATATTTTATAGTTGAATTATAATATGGATTTAATTGATTTATAGGTTATGTTCTAATTGAACAATATTCACAATAAAAAGGACAATCTTAACATTCCATATTCATAACAGTTAATCTTTTTGTACCATACTAATTAGATTCACATGATACACATTATTTATCAAATTAATAACAAAATGATGAATTAACCTTCACACATTCATTAGCAATTAATGAATAACCATCTATACAAGATATTGGTTCTAAAATTTCACTTGTATAATCTTATAATAAATTAATTGGATATATTCCTGAAAATTAGAATGTAAATCCTAATATTTAATGTAATATTTAATCATTATGAGAACTATATGAATTTTGACATTCTACATAAATTTTATTATATTATGAACATTTTAAACAAATACCTTATTTTCTATTATAATAATATCCTTTTTAACATTCTCCACAATAATATTAATTTTAAACAGGTTGGATGCATTTATTACAATTGTACAAATAACGTTAACAATTATGGATCATAGTTCCTTTAGAAAAATCATCTGTGATGGTCTCATAACATACAACATTCTTGTCAAAATTAATATACTATTTTAAACAATTTGTATCTTATTAAACAACAATTTCACATATTCCAGTATTAAAATTAAATTAATAACCTTAATAACATTAAGCACAACCAATTACTAATAATTCTTTATTAATTTATTTATTCAAAAAAAGAATAGACATATAACTAACATCTTCTTAATAATATTCAAAACAGATTTTACATTTATCTATTGAACAATATAAACATTACTATTAATCATAAGATTGAAAGTAATTATCTGCACATTTTAAACATTTATTTTATTAATATGCTAAACATTTTGAGAATTTAGTTGTATCAATAGAAAAAAGGTTACATATAAATTCACCAAAATAAAAGAGACTAATTGAACATAAAAGTAACTTACTTTTACATTTACCATCAATAAATTTACTTCTGAGTTGACAAATAATATATGTCTATCTATATAAATGTACATATTATGATAACTTACACTCTATATTATATGGTAAAGTCAAACATAATTATCTACAATATTCGCATAAAATGAGTTCTAAATCTTGAAAGATATAAACATCATATTAATCATCCTAGTAAAAAAATAATTACACATAGTTATCACTAGGTACAAATGGAGAATTATCATCACTCATATTTGCTTAAACTTAAGTTTTTAAACATTTTGGTTCATATATCCAAGTATTCGGATTTGCTAGACAGAGATAACAAGGATATTTTTTATTTACTTTTGGACTATTATTATTATATAATAAATCAAATAAATTACCATTAATAACAAACATTCTCATATTTAAAGTATCCAAATGAACAAACCACATTAGGATATTCACTATCATATCCTTAATTAAGTGATAAAGGTATTATTTTCTCTTATTTTTCAGGATATATATCTTTACAAGAACTAATTCCAAATTCTACAAATCCAATCATACATAAACATTAATGAGTTTCCACAAAATATTATCTATTTCTAGATGTCTAACAACTTAAACATTAATTTGAATAAGGACCAAAACAAGTTAAGCAATTTATATGGCATGATATTTCCAATGGAAATACATTTCCTAATCTTGAATAATATCTTAATTAATTAAATTATCCTTAAGTATTACTATAATAGTATTTTTAATCTTTAATATATCCTCCTAAAAAGATTGTTTGATTTGTATCTGAAAACAAATAAACTTACTTAACAATTTATACTATATTTTCTTAAGGTTTTTATGGAAATTATAATGATAAAGAAATTTGGTTTGATTTATATGTAATTGATATGTAATGCCATTCATCTAATGATTTGTCTATTGAAAATTGAAGGCTTTTTTATATTGAATTTACAGAATTACTTTTAAATTAAGGAATAGGTAATATATAGGATTGACAATCTAATTGAATTTAAGTTGAATCTTCATTTATCAAGTATTATAAATTAATCAATTCATTTAAATCATTTGGACTTGCTAATATTTTTATTACATTAACTACATCATGTTCATTAGTCTTATTCACTTTGATCCATCCTGATATTCCAAAACATTTATTAATATTGTAAACATTTTGATAAATTTCAAAATTTTTATTGTTAAATATCTTTTAAGAAACAATTTCATAATATGAATTAGAAGTGCAAGATATACTTAAAGGATAAAACCTACTACTCTTATCCAAAACTTGCAATCTAATTGGTCCCTCATATAATTAATTATAAAATTATTTAATCTATTAATTAATTACATATTAATACATCTTAAGTATTTCCAGCTTATAATTCAAATTATTCTTATACATGTATATTAAAACCTGTATATATTTTGTTAAATAAATTTGTCATATTTTAATTTTAATAACATGTGACATTCACTTAATTAAGTATCAAATTGTTTCTTATTTCTAATGTAAACCAATTTCCTTCTATCAATAATGGATCTTGAAGCATTGAAAATAAATATAAAGTTTTTGTTTAACTTAGACTATCTATTAATTGTAATTCGACACAAATTGTAAAAGTCTAATCTAATGTTAAGTATTTTAAGTAAGCTAAAACTTCTATAGATTTATCTGAAACCAAAGAGAAAATTATATATTGATTTATGTCATTTTCTAAATTCTAGTAATATAAGTATGACAACGGAACGTATTTAAATTCAGCAGTAATATAAATGTACTATTGTAGGTAAGTCAAATTTAATTATTAAGTGTATTATTATTGAATTGGATTAAGTGTTTGACTTATTGTAGTTATGACTGATCTAACTTCCTAAATACAACAAAATACACTAATAAATAGTAACATAAATTGAAATTATTTTATTAATTAGAGGTATATTTAACATTAGGTACAAATAATTTGTTGTTAAATGCAAATATTAAATTTTAGATTATCCTTAAATCTCTAAGTAGCTAAATATTAATATAGACATAATTTGAAAGAAAAGTATAAAGTAATTAAATGAATATAATATTTTGGTGTTGATGCGACTAAAATAATACAGATTACAACTTATTTAATACAAACATCTTTTATAATAAATAATTTAAATGAATATGATTATCATTTCATATTACTAAATTAATTAACAAAATTTGGTTTATTTGGATATTTTTATTAATATAAATAAAAATCATGTAAAAAATTTCTAATTCTTTTTTTAGATTAAGTAAAGTATATTTCAGATTTAGTGGTTGTGGTAATTGTCATTGTTGCTAGAATAAGGATTGTAAAAATAATAAAAACACTAAATAGATTCCAATCACTAAAAAATATTCTCATTTAATCAATTACAAAGAGACTGATTAAGTAACAGAAATCTTAACAGAAGTCACTTAAAATACTGATAATAAAGAATTTGAAAAAAATAATCAACCTTTTTAAGTATTTAATAAGAAAAATATTAACAAAAGAGTATGAAATTTATTAAATATATCAAATGATTATACAAAAATCATTGATTGAATTCTAGAAAATATTATTATATATGTATATTAAAAGTAAAATTAATTATAAATAAAATTCATAATGATTAACATAGAGATTCTAAGAACTCCTATTAAGCTGAGCTTAGATTTGCTTTACAATTAATCATTTCCTTATATTGATTTGGATCAATTAAACAAAATGAAACTGATTTACGAATTGTTTAACTTTTTACAAGTTGAGAATTATTCATTGTTTTAAGAATGCTTTTAACTTTAACACTTTATTCCACTTTTTTTATCATAGAGTTATTAGATTCTCTAAAATTCTCTGAAATTTCTTCAAATGAATGACTTGTAAGTTAAATTTCATCATTTGAGCATACTGATTCATCTTCCATTTTCATTGTTTCTTTTATTGGATACTTACTTTAGTTGAATTCTTGAATGATTTCTTCATTTAAGTTAATGTCATTAGTATTAATAGGGATTTTAATGCAAGTTGATCCCATTTTTGTATTTTAATTACAATGTTGCAACATAACTTTAAATGCTATTAATTCTAAAACACCTAATAAATTCCGATGTCTATTTGAGACTATATAAAAATATTGAAAATTCCATAAATTTTATAATAACTCATTTATTAATGCATCTGATTATAACCATGTCTGAATGAGTCATAATAACTACAATGCTTATATCCTTACACTCCAAGATACTTCTGGACAACTTATATGGGAGTATAAATAAAAATGAAATTGAGATCATGTAATAAATAATTTAACACTGCTTCTAAGAATATAATGATTGCTGATAGTTTCTTACTTATCACTGTATAATGTTAATTCTACTTTATTCAATTTAAGTTTTGAAGTTTCTTAAAATATCAACAATTTTTAATTTATAAACTACTATCAAATAATATTCATTATTTAATGTCAATATATTCTCTTCTTCTTTCTTCTTTCAAATCTTTCTAACCTAAGATAGTAGTGCTATCGTCATTCATAATAAAGTCTAAAATTTTACATAAAAATAAGAAGATTCTCATCAATTCTGTATCAATTCTGATAAAAATTTTGATGAGAAACAAGATTAAAGTAATCTCAAGGGTTTGATTTAATATAATAATTAAATAGGAACATTGATTTAATTGGATAAGTTTTTCATTGCCTCCGTGAAAAAAGATGGACCCATCTAATTACCTGATCCTTAACTATTTGAAAATATTATTTATAATACACTCTAGCCAAAGTAGTAGGTAGTCTTTGATATTATTGATATATTTAAGAACATTAAGTATATTATTGAAACTCAATAGTGATATAATAAGGCAATATCAAAAAAATTATGTATTCATTAATTTTGTATGAAAAATAATGATAATTTTAAAAAATGATAAATTTAGTTATCAGTATTATATAAATCTCTTTATAATATTCTGGAGTGGACTTGCTAAATCTAAATAGGTTAGACACACTGCAAAAGTTACATCCTATTATTAGAGAGTCTAAAAATAATTATGTATATAAAATACTCTTGAAGCTACTTATGTGTTGAGCAGAGCACTTAAAAATGATACTGAAATTACAATTATAAAAACAATAAATAATGCATTTCCAGTTTTGATACTAAGAATAAAGATGACTATATATGTCAAAACACTAGAAATTACTTTTATTAATTATTTATTGACTACACAATGAGTATCTTTGATTTATTCAATTACTTAATTTTATTAGTCTTCCTAAAAGAAAAGATCGTAGATTTTATTAATTATTTCAATTCTTTATAAAATTGATACATCTTCTGGTAATTCATTTGGATTTTTAAGTAAATTCTAATTTAATTGATTAAAATAATAGATTGAATAAATGATAATAGCTTCAGTAATAGGAAATGAACTATCTAAAGATGATGAACACAATCCAACTATAAAATTTAGAATGATTGAACCAATAATGGCAAATTTCATAAAAATAGTATAATAATGGGTAACATTATGTTTAACAAGTCCAAATTAGGTAATACTATGTACAATCATGATTAGTAATGTAATAATAATCCACCAAACTGGAGCTGAAGAATGTCTATCACTGCATTTGTTTCCTATTCCAATAAGTGATAATCCTATCAATATTGTATAAGCATAGTATATAGTACTCTAGTGTTTTACCTAAAGATATTGTTATTATATACTACTGCTCTTATTGATCTAATTATTGGTAATCCCAAAGCAATGATGATCAAAGATGTTGCAATTACATAGAATGTCCATCTGAAACTATTTCTATAATATCCAAACTCAACTATAATATTTGCAAACCATTCCATCAAACCAAATAATTGCATTCCCAAAATAATCAAATGTTATCTTAAGATTTACTTGTAGTACTCCTTAAGAAATATTTCTCTTGAGGATTCAGTATCATCTCTGGATACATTAATAGCTTTTTTGTCATCATTCATTTGAGTGTATTAAATTGGAGGAGCCACACTGTTCAAAATTGGGTATTTTGCTAATTCTACTGTACTAGTTGATCCATCATATGTAATTCCAATCATATCCTATTGTAAAAATATTAATTATTTATTTATATTATAACTAAATTCCATATTGATAGATATATATTAAATTCAAATTTATAGTATTAATCAGAATAAAATACATTTAAATATAATTTATAAAAACTGAATTATTTGTATATATATATAAAGAAGATCAGGAACAGTATTGTTCAAAAGTATAATTCTTATTTGAGATATTATTTTAGAATATATTTGAATTAATTTTAATAATTTTTATAATATATTTTTGATTCTAGATATTGAAGGAGAATAAAATATAAACCTAATTTATAAAGATTTCAAAATAATTTAAAAATTATTAAGAAAGATTGGATTAAGTATGCAAACTCTATTAATATGATTGGAAATTATAGAAAAATACATTGAAATTCCTTAATATTCTTTTCATTGTAATTTTAAAATCATAAAACTCTAATTTTCTTCATCCTAATTAACAACCAAGAGTCTTAATCCTTCTTTATCTTATAATAACTATAATAGAGGTCCACAAGTAGCACCAAATTCATTCACTATCTTTTCATTTAAATACACACCACTATTTAGTGGACTTATGGATGTAGATATACGTAAAACATCTTCACTTGTTGCAACTGATACTATAGCAAACATCTTCTCTTTATCAACATCTAATGGATTTTCCAACATAACAAAATCTCCTACTGGTTATTTGTGTCCCATGATCTCTTTCTCAATCTTCTATGATTTTAAATTCCATATTTTAATTTTACAATCACTACCTCCAGTCACAAATAGATTTTCATCAATCATAGATGCTTACATACAATATATTTGACATTCATCTCTAAATACTTATTATTTTAAAGCATCACCAAACACTTATCTTGTATATATTTATGATCTCACATAATGTATTTAATATATTATGATATTTTTATCACTACCTCCAGTAATCACTCTTCCATCTTTGGTTAATATAATTCCATTTACAGAATCACTATGATCTTAAAGTTTCTTCATTACCATTCCAGAATATGCATTCCAAAATGATACCTTACCATCTTCATGTCCACTAATTAAAGTATGATTATCTAATAAACATAACATCGATGTGATTACATTTCCTTATCCTTTCAATTATTTAATCATACCTCCAGTCTTAATATCCCATATCTTTATATCTTGATTACCAGTTATAAGATATTATTATTCTTTTAAATCTACTCCTAATGCATTTGCTCTAGAAGTTACATTAAAATCTCCTTGAAATCCTTTGAAAACTCTCATACAAGTGACAGATTATTTTGTTTGAATTGAGAAACATTATTCTTTATTTTTCAAATCCCATACTTAAACTAATCCATTTCTACTTCCAACTGCAACAATATTATCTGTAATTGCTTAAATACTTAATAATGGATTATTTGATAAATATTTATACTCTAACTTTAATCCAAAGTTTTTCATACTCTATCCTAATCCTAAACTAATATTCATATTGAATTTTTAAGATTTCAATTTATTCTATATAAGTGTTTTTAAATTTTCCAATTCTTATAAATCTCTATCTCCTCCAATAGCATTTTAACGATTATTGGCAATTACAGTTTCTACCTTAGGTAATAATAATATATGTTCATAATTGTATTATGGTGTAAATTCCATTACAAGATTCATTTCATTCAATTAAGTTGTAATTGAATTGATAAGTTATTTTTAAAATTCATCATATTTTAATTACAGAGTTTCTGTATGTCTATAACCTGGTTTATGTGTAATTTGATTATCCATGTCTTCAGCCATAAAAATAAGTGTTCGTTTCATTAATTCAGAATCTATATTAGATAATCTTTATTTGATTAAACATTTCTCTTCTTTAATCTTTTTATAATTTTCATCTTGGTCATAATGAAAAATAGTAATAGATGAAATATTGACAGGGATTGATCTATTTAATGCAGATGGAACTTATAAAAATGATTATTTGAATTGATTAACCATATCTTGTAATGTTTGATAGTTGGATTCATAATTGATTAGAATTTAATCTAGAGTATTTAACAATTCATTTTGTTTTTTATCTATTTCTTCTGATATAAGATCTTTGAGTCTATTACAATCTACACAAATTTTTCTCTTTTAATTTTATATGTCATCTGATAAGATCTTTAAATATTCAGGGTAATGTCCTATTAATTCAGTAACTTTATTTGGTATGGAAAACAATTGACTGGATGCAAGAGAAGATTTCAAAGAGCTTAAGAAATATATATAGAATGTACCAATTTGATTAGAAACGATCATAAGATCTATCTCTATTGTCAATACTTCCAAAAGTGATTCTATCTGCAGGAGTAAAATAATTAGATTATGCTAATGGATGATCATTCATAAACCAATCATTTTAATGGACTGAGCTTTATCTTCTACGTTCAGATAAATGTTCTTATAATTTAGATTCATGTAAAAAAGGATTTGGTGTTGGTTCAAGTTTTTGAGATTCTCTAGCTACACTTTCAGCAAGATGTTGCATAATTAGTTAAGAGTCTTTCATTCCAGCTTTCTTTTGAAATTTGATCTTGAGTTTTTTACTAGTTCTCATTTCTTCATTATAAATTTAGTTAATCATTATTATATTAATATTAATGATAAGAAATATCTTAATAAGAGGACAAAATGTTCAATTTATTAAAGGAGAGAATGTTTTGATGGATCATTTCAATAAAGTAGAGTAGGCTAAGAAATTTTAAAATTATATAAACTCTTGGGAATAGTCTAATGTGGAAGTAAAATCAATAGAGGTATCTTATGTATACATGTTTGGATAAAATGTTGGTTTTGTCAATTTAATAATTGATGCTTATCTTAATGGTATTAAATTACCTGGATTCGTATTTTTGAGAGGAGATGCTGTGGCAATTCTTTTGTTGGTTAATAAAAAGATGGTGCTTACATAACAGTTTAGAGTCCCAGTTGGTAAATTTACTATAGAGGCACCTGCTGGTATGATGGATGAATAGGGTGATTTTGGAGGAGTAGCTGCTAAAGAGATTAAGGAAGAAACAGGAATATGCATATAACATAATGAAATGCGTTATTTATAAGATATGTTAGTATCTCCAGGTGGAAGTGATGAAGTGATTCATTTATTTGTTGTTGAGAAGAATATGGAATAAGCATAATTAGATGAATTATGTAAGAAAACACATGGAGCAGAAGGAGAAGGAGAATAAATAAAGTTAGTAATCTAAGATTTTACATGGGAAAATATATTAAAGACATAAGATTCTAAATTGATAGCAGCGGCAGCAGCTTATTATAATCAAAAATTATGAAGCATTTATCATATTAATAATATAGAACAAATTTCATTCTAATAAAATTTTTCAAAATTAAATCAGATTGAATATTTATATTCTAGATCATCTCTTAAATCTTGATAGGATTTGAATATAAAATAATACAATTATACTATAATTATTAATCCTAGTTAAGTTACTATTAATCTTGAGATTAAATTATGAATTTATTACTTTAAAAATCTCTTTTTTTAGATTATTAATATGCTATTACAAATATATTTTCTCTTTTAATAAGGATAATACTTTATATTCTGGATTTATTTTTTGGTTTTCATGAAATATAATATTCATTTTCAATAGTAAATCTCCATGCTTAAATTTATATATATTTAACAATTAAAAGATTTCTAAATTTCAAATACAGTTATTTTAATTGTTCTTTTACTTAAATAATTTATATATAATTAACTGGATGAAATTTAGGAATCTTATATATGAAGTAAAGTATTCATATTTTAAACAAACGAGACCATATCGATATACTTAAAATTTTATCATATAGTTTCTACTGTAATAATTCATCATCAATTATCATTGAGTTATGGTGGAAAAACATAAATAATATATAAAGATAATGGAGTTAAAAATATTAATCAAAATAAAGTTTACTTTAAACTTATCAAAAGAAATTGTTAATTGATGATAAGAAATATTCTAAAGAAAACTAAACTTTACATTTAAAAATTAAAATTTAGCAAAATTTGTCATTACTTTTGTAAAATATATTTTCATTATGTATAAACTTATTTCTATACATGAAATCACTTAGGAACTAAATTTATCTCTATTTGAGCATTAACATTTTAACAAAATAGTATATATTATTATTCTTTTATTCTTAAAAGATAAATAATGAATTAATGGAACAGAACTTCAAAACTGACTCTTAAATTATTAAGGAATACTAAATCATAAATTGAAGATACAATTAATTTGTTAATCATCTAATTAGAAAACAATATTAATGACAACCTTTAGTCTTTGAGAAATTTGAGTTCAGTAATTAAAAGCTTATTGATGTCTCAATAATTGAAATAATTTAGTAGATTGAGTCATATAAAATGAATATGAATTTCAAGAGATAATTACTATTCTTCTAATTGTATTTAAACTTAAATAATGATGGTTGATTGTCAAGTTAAATTTATAAGAATTAATAAAAACAATTGATCTCCAAAAAATAGTATAGAAATAGAGGTTGATATTACAAATACTTCAACTTTCCTTACTGAATGTTAGAATTTGAGATATTGTGCATAATAATAATTTAATTTTTAATGGCAACACACAAGAAACAAGTAAACTCTCTTTATAACGTTCGCTTTTTTCCTGATAAATCTAATTCGAATAATGTAGTCAAGGCACGAAGTCCAGTAATTTAACCAACTCATAGATTATAATAATAACGAATGGCGACAATGAATGTGAATTAATAGAATTAAGAAGCACCCCTTAAAAAACCTTAATTGTCTCGTTGTGGAAGTATGGGAATGCAAACTTAATTGCCATACTCAGATAGTTTAACAAAACTGTAGGAAATAGAAAAAGATATTCAAACTACTGAAGTGGAAACTATTAGCATAGATAAATTGTAGAAGTGGAGAATAGCTTTGATAGAGTAATGTGAATCTATGGAGGATTAATTGGGGAAGAAGGAAGTGAATGTTCATTAATATGCTTTTAAAGTTGTACCTCATACTCAGATGCTAGAAAAAAGAATAATTGAGGAAATTCAAAATAGAGAAAAATTAGAGGCTTAGACTTCATAGATGATTAAATATTAAGACTAAGAAATTAATTAATTACTTTAAAAGATATAAGCGTTGCAAGAATCCTTGAAGAAATGATCATCATATACTTATTTTTATGTAATTTATATATTCCCATGAATTATCATAAAAATAATTTTTAAATTTATGTAAGCTTTATCTCTTTAGAAGCTTGTGTTATCAGCACAATAAATGGCTTAGAAAGAACATTTTGCTGGTAGTTGGGAATCACTAGTAGATATGTTTGATAAACGTTTACAACTATACAAATATAACAGAGTTTCTCTAATAACTGAATGCAAACCAACAATTGGTATAGAGTTTTATCCTGCCATTAAAAATGAAAAAGATCTTTTGAATCATATCATGCGACTTCACCTCTACTTACCATAAGTTTTTTTTAATTAGGCACAATTTTATGAGTTTAGTACAGCTCTTGATGACAGGAACATATTCGATAGAAGGAATGTAGGGTATTTTTGTTTTTCTCATTGAAGTTCTCTCTTGGGCATGGCCTTTATGGGAATCGTTGGTTTCTTAGCCTTAGGTTTTACTATAATGGGTATGATAGCTGGAGGAGTTCTAGGAGTTATGCTTGGTAGATACGCAGGTCGTCGTATGAAGAAAACATTTACATCTTAAAAGGTATTATTGGAATTTGATATCTATTCAATCAGATTACGTTGTTATATTAAATGGGCAGAAGAGAGAGGTAAAACTTATAGATATAATGTTAATTTTATAAGATTTATAGCAGAGAAATTGTTATTGGAAACAAAGACTGCTTTGCATTATAAATAATTCAATGCTGATTAACAAAAATAAGCTAAAAAGATCATACTTAAAGTTGCTGAAATCTTCAAAGAGAAATATTTCATTCATGCTCTCATTCTATCTCTAAAAATGTCACATGAATACTTACGAATTTTGAGATTATTAAGTGAAAATAGTGAATTGAATCGTGGAGACATTGAAGAATTTCAGCATTTCAAAAATTTTAGAGCTGAACTTGAAGTTTGTTTAATGAAGGCCATAGACAATGTCTTAAGACCTTTAGTTCGATTGTTAGAGGATTCTAATCCAAAATCAAAAGTACTGAAAAAAATTAGAGATTAAGCAAAAAGTTTCCTAATTTAAAAGGATGTTATTTAATTAACCAAATAATATCCAGATCCATAAATGAGAATTACCTATATAAAGATGTTAGCTGAAAAGATGAAACAATCCATAAAAAATGATAGTATAATTTCTTATTTGAAAAAATAACATTTTAGAGATATTGAACAAATTGGAATTGTTATAGATTAATAGATTGATTAATAATAAATTGAATAAAAATAAGTAGGAGATATTAAATAAATTGAATTAGAAATTATTTAAGAAGAAAATGAATAAAATCTTACTCCTAAATAATAATTAAAATCTCAATATTCTGCTGGTAGTGAATCAGAATTTTAACCTTTACAAGAAGATTGTCCAAAATCATCTCAAAAACTATAAGAATTATAATTAAAAATAACTCAACATCCAAATTAAGTTTTTATTGATTCTAATTAAGGAGATTAAATTATTTAAAATTCTCTGGCCTAATCTTTGAGTTAAGCTGATATTAAACAAATACTTGAACCTGAATAATAAGTCTCTTTATAACATCGTTAATCTGTTGAAATCAATTAATAAATTGTATAATATTCTGAGGAAACAACAAAAAAATTTGAACTCTTTCTTAAATTTTATGAGGAATCAACTGATTCTTGGGAATGTGTTACTACTAAAGATGATATCTATATATATAAATCAATGAAACCAGGTTGTGGTAGTGTATTTTTGAAAGGACATTCATTCATTTACAGCCATGATAAATAAGTTGTCTTTAATGCAGTGTATTAAAAGGAATTTAGAACGAAATGGGACAAAATAATGCAGAAATTTAATATAGTAAGACATGAAAGAGAAGATATTGATATTATGTATTATGTTGTTGTTCCTCCAATACCAATTGTAAGTACTAGAGAATGGTTGTAAAGGAGAGTATTAAGATATGATTTTCCTTATAAGGGATAAATATGTTTGTTGTTTTATTCAGTTGATCTACAAGAATTTCCAATTACTAAGAATCCAGTACGAGCCCATACTGAAATTGCTGGTATTTAAAATTTACTATAATTTAAGGTTATGTTTTTGAGAATACTTCTTCTGGTACTAAAATTACATTTGTCTCTAATAATGATATTAAAGGCTCAATTCCTAAATTGTTGGTTAATCATGCTAGCGCAAAGGGTCCATTTGGATGGTTTGGTAATTTGCGTAAAGCTTGTGATTTATATCGAAAACACAATGGCGATCTCAGTAGAATAGTTATATCATGAATAAATATATAATCAGTTATTATTTGTTTTTTATTCCCTCATTAATTATAATATAAATTTGCTGTTAAATTTTTATGTGGTAAACTGCAAACTCAGTTCTATCAATTATTACAAATACTTACGAAAACACACGAGGAGTGGAATGTTTGGACAAGAAACCTCAAATATAAGATTCAATTGAAGAAGAAACTCGAAATAATTATAGTGATAATGAAGATTTTAATCAGTAAGATAAAGGTATAAAATTATATATAAAGTAGAATTCGATCCTAATTAATGGAGTTTAAGAAATTTTGAAATGGGTAGATATTTAGGAAATGGTAAATTTGGTCATGTTTATTTAGCGAGGTATTAATTATTTTATATCCAATTAGGGAGCGTGAAAGTAAATTCATCCTTGCTTTAAAAGTAATAAGTAAAAGACAACTCAATCTATGTTAATTGACTGGATCTTTAACCAGAGAAGTGGAAATACTTACACATCTCAAACATCCTAATATTATTAGTTTTTATGGTTTTTTTTAAACAGAAAAACGTGTTTACTTAATGCTTGAATGGGCTCCATTGGGAGACTTATATGGTTTAATGAAGAAGTAATAGAATAAAAGATTCAATGAAAAAATGGCATCAAATATTATCAAGCAAATAACAATGGCTATTGGATATATGCATTCAATGAATGTTATACATAGAGATTTGAAACCTGAAAACATATTGTGTTTCAATGATGATGTGTTCAAGATTTCAGATTTTGGTTGGAGTGTTCATACTCCATCAAATAGAAGAAAAACTTTATGTGGTACTTTAGATTACTTATGTCCAGAGATGATTAATTATCAACCTCATGATAATAGAGTAGATGTTTGGACAATAGGAGTATTGGCATATGAATTAGTAGTTGGTAATTTTTAAGATTATAAATAGGGAGACCACCTTTTGAATCACATAATGAGAATGATACAAAAAGAAAGATATAACATTTGCAATATTAGTTTCCATAGTGGAGTAGCTCAGATTTTCAGAATTTTGTAAAAGGAATCCTTCAACATGATTGCAATAAAAGACCTACAATCGAATAGATTTTAAATCATCCATGGATTGCTTAATGAATTACTAATATATATTATTATAATTAAATAAATAAATTTGAAAAATCATGGTACTAATATATATAGTTATTCATTTCAGATTAGATTTATTTTGTTGTAGAATAGATAAGGGAAGACAAGACTTTCAAAATGGTATGTCTATTATGATGATGCTGAGAAAGTAAAATTGCAGAATGAAGTTCATCGATTAATAGTATGTAGAGACACTAAACACACTAACTTTTTGGAAGTACTTAGAGTTTCATCATAATTAGTTCAGGAATTATAAAATCATCTACAAAAGATATGCAGGATTATTCTTTGCCTTGTGTGTTGATGTGAGTGACAATGAATTAACAATGCTAGAATTGATACATTTGTATGTTGAAGTATTAGACAAATACTTTGGAAATGTTTGTGAATTAGACATAGTATTCAACTTCAATAAAGTAAATTAATGATGCTACTATTGTAAGGCATATTCTATTTTGGATGAAATGATTGTCGGTGGTGAAATTGTTGAAACTTCAAAATAAGTCATAATTAATGCAGTCAAGAATATTGAATTATTAGATTGATACATTATATATATCATTTATTTTTCTTTTTTTCAGCAGCTTTAGCATCAGCAATCCACTTCAATTATTCATCAACTTCTTTTCTATATCTCATTTCATTTTTCATTCTCTTTATTTATTAGACACTCTCCTCTACAAATTCATGATTCAAATTAAGTACTTCTGCCTCTTTTAATAATCCTTCCAATCCTACAATCATAATATAAAATAAATAATACCCTTAATATTCTCATCCAAAGATTTTACATCATTAGCCCATTCTGGAATTACAAACTTAGGTTCCTTCTTCTTTTTCTTCTTTTGATTCTGTAATGCCAATTTTAAAGGATCAATTGGTTTACCTGTTATTGGATCAATAGGTTTCTTGGTTTTTGGATCCCATTTAATAGGATCTGGAATCTCTCTTGCAGGATATTCATTAAACATCTTTAATATTTTCTTAGCTTGAATAGCTTTAGCCATCTTATCTCTTAATTCTGAAGCCTGATCTATATATTATTTATCAACTCCTTTTTCTGTTGCTATAACTACTTTATCATTCAACACAACCACTTATTCTGGTGTTGATAATCCAATATCTAAATTATCTAATTCAAATTATAAATTTCTCTATCAATATAATTTAAATATACCTCTGCCTTTAATCTTTCCATCTCTTTTTCAGCTTCCTCATTAACATGAGCATCAATCTTAACACCTCTATTTATAGCATCATCTAACATAGCTTAAATCTAATTGACAGATTTCAAGATTGTTTTATAATTAGAAACATGTTTCAAAGTACTCAAATAATCCAATATCATATTCTAAGTTCTCAATTTTTCCTATTCAATCAAAGCAAATTTATAATTCTTTGGATCTATCTCTATTCTTTAGAATTCTTCTTTTCCATACTCATTCTTAATTACTATTCCCTTCTCAATCTCATTCAATTTCTCTGTCAATATTTTATGATCTTATTTATCAATTATGCTTAATAATTCTTCAGTATGTTTCTTTATTGTGTTCCAACAATTCAAACATCTCCCTTCAGGTTTTTCCATATCTGTTGATTCAGCATTCTCAAATACCCAATCCATTTTATATTCCTCCTACTTCCAAAACCTTCTACAAGTCATACAAAAATAATTGGTTTATTAACCACTTGCCTCTAATAACTTAATCAACTATAATATATAGGCATTTGTTGCCAAATCTTTTGCAGTGTGTCCCCTTGTATTTGGTCTGTCTACTGCTATTCCATAAAATAGTAATGTCTAAAATACTACTTAATTCCCTCCTGATGCTGCCAAATGAACACTGTTATTCCCAAATTGATCCACATCCTATATTAAAAACTCTAATTTTGTTATACCTCCCAACTCAATCCTGCCTTTAATAATAACCATACAACTTGTACATGTCCTTTGAAACATGCCCACATTAATGGTGTCGAACGAACTTATTAATTAATAATTCCTTAGACAACTTTCTTAGTTAATTATTAAGGAAAATTAAACACTGCTGATTAAGCTACACCTCCAGGACTTCCTCCAAAATAAGTAGACTTGCTTGGAGATGATTGATTCAATGGACTTGAATAAACAGGCATTGTCTATGCAAAGTTCTACAATATCAATGCCATTTCAGGAACATATGGTGCTGCTGCTTAACGAGACAATAAAACACGCACTATTTCTGTGTACCCTCTACATGATGCCCACATTAATGGATTCCATTTTTTCTTATCCTCATATAAAACATTTGCTCTTTTATCTAAACATCTTTAGACCGCTGTTATATCTCCTTTCTAACATGCACTCAATCTAATTAGCTAAATATACATTCATACAATTATTAATGCCAATCTCCCTTCTCTCTCTTCTCATCTTCATCCATATCAGACTCCTCTTCTATTGGTTAATCCATCAGTTATTTTTCTGGGTCCATTGTTTTTTATTAAAATTATTATATATTATAAAATAATATTTGTAAATATATTATACTTTAATTATTTATAACACAACCAGAATAACAACAGATTATTTTTAAATCAATTATTAATCTAACCATTTGATTTTCCTCTAATGCCACCAAAATTCATCTTGCTCTAATTACTCTAAGTTGTCTATCTTCAACTTTTTGAAAATACTTAATTCATCCTTGAAAATGAATACATCCAAACAAATTTAATCATCATTGTCATCCCCTACGATATTTACATATCCAAGCAATATCAAAAATTATCATTANTTTTATGATCTTATTTATCAATTATGCTTAATAATTCTTCAGTATGTTTCTTTATTGTGTTCCAACAATTCAAACATCTCCCTTCAGGTTTTTCCATATCTGTTGATTCAGCATTCTCAAATACCCAATCCATTTTATATTCCTCCTACTTCCAAAACCTTCTACAAGTCATACAAAAATAATTGGTTTATTAACCACTTGCCTCTAATAACTTAATCAACTATAATATATAGGCATTTGTTGCCAAATCTTTTGCAGTGTGTCCCCTTGTATTTGGTCTGTCTACTGCTATTCCATAAAATAGTAATGTCTAAAATACTACTTAATTCCCTCCTGATGCTGCCAAATGAACACTGTTATTCCCAAATTGATCCACATCCTATATTAAAAACTCTAATTTTGTTATACCTCCCAACTCAATCCTGCCTTTAATAATAACCATACAACTTGTACATGTCCTTTGAAACATGCCCACATTAATGGTGTCGAACGAACTTATTAATTAATAATTCCTTAGACAACTTTCTTAGTTAATTATTAAGGAAAATTAAACACTGCTGATTAAGCTACACCTCCAGGACTTCCTCCAAAATAAGTAGACTTGCTTGGAGATGATTGATTCAATGGACTTGAATAAACAGGCATTGTCTATGCAAAGTTCTACAATATCAATGCCATTTCAGGAACATATGGTGCTGCTGCTTAACGAGACAATAAAACACGCACTATTTCTGTGTACCCTCTACATGATGCCCACATTAATGGATTCCATTTTTTCTTATCCTCATATAAAACATTTGCTCTTTTATCTAAACATCTTTAGACCGCTGTTATATCTCCTTTCTAACATGCACTCAATCTAATTAGCTAAATATACATTCATACAATTATTAATGCCAATCTCCCTTCTCTCTCTTCTCATCTTCATCCATATCAGACTCCTCTTCTATTGGTTAATCCATCAGTTATTTTTCTGGGTCCATTGTTTTTTATTAAAATTATTATATATTATAAAATAATATTTGTAAATATATTATACTTTAATTATTTATAACACAACCAGAATAACAACAGATTATTTTTAAATCAATTATTAATCTAACCATTTGATTTTCCTCTAATGCCACCAAAATTCATCTTGCTCTAATTACTCTAAGTTGTCTATCTTCAACTTTTTGAAAATACTTAATTCATCCTTGAAAATGAATACATCCAAACAAATTTAATCATCATTGTCATCCCCTACGATATTTACATATCCAAGCAATATCAAAAATTATCATTAGTCCAAGAATACAACCTTACTGAAGAATATAAGTAGCCTCTGATCTCACCCTCGACAAAATTATATTCATTAATAAAATCTAATGATCAAGATATTGATATTGTTTAATTGGAAGATCAGAAACTTTCATTTTTGTATACAATTAAGAACTACCTCTCAAATAATTAATTAGTTATTCAACCTAAAAATTACTCAATTTCATTAGATTAAGAAAATTGTTTCTCCTTGTATTATCTTAATCAAGAATCCTACTTGTTAATTTGCAAAATGCAAGAACTAAAGATCATAATATAAATACTTAATTTGAATCAATAGTCTATGGAATAAAACTTTACTATAAAAAACTTAACTGTTTTAGACTACAATCCTATTTGTCAAATAGATTCTAAATTTATGTTTTCATTGCTTGTAATATTTGAAAAAAATTGTTCAAATTCAACATTTATAAATTATTTGATTGATACAAATGATTAAAAAATCATCAATTAAACTAGTTTAAATATGAATAATTACAATAAATCTAATGAATTCATTATTAACATTGAAATTTGCTCATCAAATATTTTAAGGATATTGACTCAAAATCAAATACTAATATTAAATCTTTAAACTCCTGAATATTCTCTCTATCAAGTTGCATCAGTAACAAATTTTTCTAATACTTTTATTAATAAATGTACATTATAATAATTTTCATTTCAATTAGAAATCAAAAATAATTAATTAATATTGGATTAACATAAAATAAACATAAGTAGTGAAGGTTTCATTTAAGCAATTCTTACAAATAAAATATTAATTTTACATAAAAAGGATTAAGTAATAGTATATTTCGATTAAGATATATAGATTATAATAAAATAATCATTTTAATAGTTTTTTAGTTTATCAAACTTACCATTTGTTTTAGGGGTTACAGAAAATGGGGAACTATTAGCATATAAAATTAGGATTCCTAAATAAAGTTATACAAATTTAAATTCAAGCAAAATTCAAATTTTATAGTTTTCAAGAAGCGCTAGATTGTTAAATTAAATAATTTCTTCAAGGATTTTAGATATTCAAGTAATATCTGAAAGATCACCAAAATTATTCATTTCTGAATAAAAAGAGTTCTTTTAAGTATTCAAAGGTTCTAGAATTGTATTTTTCTAATCTAAATTACAAATTTCTCTTCCTTTACAAGTAAAATCAATATAAGTAAATGGAAAATCAATCAATTTTAAGATAGAAACATAATAATTAAATTGCCATATAGATATTAGAGATCTAGAATAGTTATATATCATTAATTTAAAGGATGATTCACATCTTATAATGTTTCTTAAAAATAATACGACTCAATTAATTGTAGCTTTATGCTTTTAAGAAAGATTGTCAATAATTAAGAAAATTAGAATCAAACATGGATTTATAAAAATATTCATTTATAATACTTAATGCTTCTTTCTTGTTCAACAAAATTCATTTAAAATATATTATTACGAAAATATGTAATTGAATGAAAGATCTTATCTCTTTTATCTTCAAATAATTGATGCAAATATGGTAGATTAAATAAAGTTAATTTGCCTTGTATTCAAAGATTGTACTTAATAATGTTATTATACTGATATCAATGAAGATTCACCTTTCTTTTAGATCTAGTCCTCAAAATTAGAATGTAATGGCAACAAGTAATTAATTACTGAATTTTTGTTTATTGGTGAACATGAGTTATTCTTTTATAACAAATTATCATATTAAGAATAATTAATATTTGAAGAAACAATTATTAAAGCTGAAGTTATATTACATCATTCTTTGATTCTGTTATTTACAACACATGAAGGTAAGTTAAAAATAAAGAAATATAGTTTTAATAATAATGAATTATAATTTTTATATGATATTCCTTTGTATACATTCAGTTTAAGGAATCCATTAACTTATAAAGTAAAAGGCAAATTTCTAATGGTATTAGCAGAAACCTCTTCCTTTTCCCCTGTTTTATTAATTTATAATTTTTAAAATACTGGAGTTAATTCCCTTATTAAAGTTATTGAATTAGATAAAGACCAAATAAATTTTGATTTCATATATGGAAATGGGATGGCTTTTTATTATTTTTATTAAAATGCCATTTAAATAAGAGAATTAGATATTATTTCAGTTATCTTTGAGAATTAATTTGTATCTACAAATATATTCAATAAATTTGATTTTTTATTCACTTTTGGAACTCCTATTTCAAATGAAATTATTAATACAAATCACTCATATACATGTTTCAATGATGATTACTAGATTAGATTAATTTAGAATGATACTCGAAGTTTAAACTCAAAAAATGTTTTGGATATGTCAAATATAATTAGTAATATTAATTCAATTGAAGTTGTTCAACATAATTATTATTTACTAATCCCACCTTTAGTATTTACTTCTGAAAAAATGATTTGCAAATTTTATTAAAATAAATGTTGTATTAATGAATCTGAAATAATATGCTGGTTAAAGAATGAAAGGTTCATTTAAGAAAAAAATGTCTTAATTTAAAATTATCTCATGATTGATTGTAATGAAAATCAATATGAATGCACTATTATGTATAAATCCAACTAATTCATTTATCTCATGAATATTATATTTCAAAAAGATGAATAGTCCAATAAAAGTTTAATAATTTAATAAAATTATAATTCAAAGGCTCCTTTTCATGAAGCAAATGATATTGATATTAGATTTTATAATAAAGATCTAATAATGTTAGCATCAGAAGGACTAAAAAAGATTTTTGTTTATTCAAGACTTAACATAGAATAATTAATTAGTTTTAATTATTCTAAACTATAAAATGAATTTCTTTAGATATAGAGAATTAAAGATAATAATTATATCTGTTTATACTAATATGAGAATTAAATACATTATACCATCATTACAATTAATGATAATAATCAAAATTAATAACAATAAGATTAATAATAAAAGGAATTAATTGTTGATTAGACATGCTTTTCTATTGAAGATTTAGCAAATATCTTGAATGTACCCTTAAAGAAATTGTAGATTTAAAGTAAGATAATCCAAATTACTGAAATCAATTTTGTCAACGATATTATAATGATTGAATTACTAATATTGTTTGAATAATAACTTGGTTTCATTCTTCAATTAAAAATTGATATCAATAAATAAGAGAAATGTTATTTCGATATTCTATAAATTATAAGGTATCCAATTAACTCTTATTTAAATCTATTATTATATATTAATAATGATTTTATAATAATGTCAATTACTTAATTTGAAAATAAAAATATAATTCTATATGATAGGTTTTAAGGCCAAACAGTATCATTGATCCATTCAATCTACATGTTACCTGATAATAATTATTCAAAAATAGGTAATATTTTTATTTATATTATAGAAAATTTCAACAATACTCATTTTTCTTTAATTCAACAAGGTAATTAAATTTAAGAAGTCTAAATTATATCTATTTCAAAATATAAATTAGAATTTCTTAACGAATCCAATTCAATAGCCACTTTAATATTAAAGAATGAGGTATCAAATTTTACTATTACTGTTCAAAATATTAACATAAAAATTCCTCTCAATTATAATATAAGATTAATCATAACAATAATTAATGTTTTATTAATTTAATTTTTTCTATTATTCAAAAAGAAATAAAAGAATAATGCTCCAAAAAAATGAGAAATATATTTTACATATATATATAATAATGTAAATTTATTTAATAAAAAACTATTTATTAAAATTAATTCTTTTTATTATCCATTTCACTTAAAGAAGTCGAATATAAGGTTATATTTCATTTTAATTAAAGTAAAACTTAATTTAAGAAATAAATAAAATATTTTTGTATTAATAAAATAATATTAAATTATTATTATCATTATTGGTTTATAATATATATATATATATATAATTATAGCATAACTAATCAATATTTAAGTAATTCTAATGCAGTAGAATTACAATCATTAGAATAATTAGATATAAATCTATTTATAAAAGGAAAATGTAATAATAATAAAATTATTAAATAATGAATTAGGTTGAAAAATTGATTTCTAAGAAAATCACATATGTAAAATTAGTACAAGAAGATTAGTTTGATAACAATTATTACAATATGATATTTACAATAATATTAATAAAAAATTGAGAAATATTTTATACATTAAAACAGTATTATGAAAATTGAAATTAAAGTTTATTCTGTGATAAGTGATATTTAATTCTTTGATTTATGATGTGAATAACAAAATTAGATATATCAAAAAAAGTGAAACTTATTCTTATTTAAAATTGATTATTATCTGATAAAACCTGTTGAGTCACAGCAATTATCAAAAATGATTTGCTTAAATATTGAAATTTAGTATTAATATCTTATAAGTTTATAACATAATCAGTAAATTTCAACATAAACCTCTCACTATCACTTCAATACAAAAAGATGCTAGACAATCTCCAATACATTAAAATATGCATAATCCCCAAAAGCCTTGTAGATTTTTTGGATTTCCTTCATTTATTTAAACTTAATCAAGAATTTACTCTTGTTATTGTTCTTAAATCTAGGTTTCATCTTCAGTTTATGGTTTTAATTCCCAAAATTTATCATCATTTATGTTATTTTGCATTAATTACTATGAGATATCTTAATTTTATTCAGTCATTAAATTAATATATATACATTATCTTGATTTGTTTGATTTATATTATGAAAAATGTAGAAATTTATGTGTTGTACAAATAAATTTAATTAAAATTTGAAATAAATGCATATATATATATATAAAATGATATATTTATTATAATAATATTCATAAACTTCTATTTTTTTTGTTACTGATAAACAAAATTAATGGGAAATTCAACATCAATAGATATAAAGTAGTTTTAGATTTATTTTAAATTGAATACTATAAAATTACAGGAGATCTTAAACTAGATACATAATTATGTAAAACTAATTCACAATTATTTTGTAAATTTATTTGATAATTATGTATTTCAATAAGTTATATATTATTAATTTTCCCATCATTTTTAATTTATACAAAATGTGTTTAATTATAATATTAGATATCTGAAAATTCATCATCTTTATAATAATAATCAAAGATTTCAATAGAAGAACTTAAATTCATCTAATAGAAATAGGATGATGAAGTTGAATTTTCATTTTTTCCTTTCAAAATAAAATTAGTTTCATTAATTTATTTGAAATCTTCATAATTAATATTTATATATCTGATTATTTAAGACTTTATTATTTATTCAGTAATTATTTATTACTTTAAATCAAAAAATAATTCATAAATGTATGCAAAGTCTCTAGGGGAAAAGAGAATAAGAATTAAATGAATCTCTTAATTTTCCTATTTTATGTTCAATATATGAAAAGCCACAATTTGGAAATCTGAAATGATTTTCTTGTGTTGTTTATCTTCATTCTCAAACTTTGAGCAAATTTCAAAACAAAGCTCAAATTCATTTTTCAAAATTAAAAGTATAAATGAATATTCATAATAAAATAAATATTCAATTTATTTTACTGAAAGATAATTTACTTAACATTGTACTTCTTATTTCATTTTATTTTATTGTCTTATTATTGAGTAAATACCCAAAAATTGTGCTGTTTCAATCATGAGAATATCGTTGATAAATCTTATAGATTTATATTTATTATTAAATTAAATGTAATCTAATTTTATATAGTTAGAATCATTATATATATTTTATTAAATTGATTGATTACCTGAAAAATTAAAAAAACCAATTTATGAAAATTAATGATTATAAAGGATGATTAAGTTATTATTAGATTTTAAGATCGTATTGAGTAATATAGTATAATTTGGTAATATGATGGTTATATTAGAGTTAAAGTAATCAATAATCAATGTAGAGTTAGAAACAAAACAAAATTATTCATAAATACTCTAGCAATTATTCAATTATATGATTTATTTCAATTAGATTGGTCCATTTAAAAATCCTTCACAATTATTACTCAAATACAAATTATTTATACTACCATAAATGGAATCGAGATTGATTATTTCATTTTAATTATTAATCATTAACATCTATTATTTAACATTAAGCTTATATCTTAGTTTAGTATCAAAATTTAATAGATTTAAGTTAATATAAAAATAAGATGGAATAGATTATATTAAAGATTTAGCTTAAAATTTAATTAGATGATCTATTATAGATTAATCAGATATTTTTATTTATTTGATACCAAAGTTTAAATATGGATAATTGATAACAATTTTATCAAATAATACTTAACTAAGAATTCCTGTTTCATCAATTAAATTAAAACTTTAATAATCTAATTACATTTTAGTAATTTATATTAAGGATGACTTTCCTTATTTAGTTACATCATATGTTAATAGATATTCTTACTCATTCTTTATTGTAATTATGCTAAATAATTTGTCATAAAATTTGATTTTAATAGGTTATAGTATGAGAAATTCATATGTTGGTATTTAATATAGAAGAAGGATTTCATTTAAACTAAAAAAATATAGTTTTAATTCTAATATATTGTTATTATTTACAATTAGTAATATTCTGGTATAAGGTACAAATATATGTGAAATTAGTATTTCACTATTTAATGTTACTAGAATGTTATACTTATTAGGTATTAATGATTAGATTTCAATAGTATATTTTTAATGATCAATATATAAATATGGAACTCTGAAATCATTATATTTATTCTCTCTTTTCATCCAAAATTCTTATAAATATTAATTTTTTGCTGAAAAATATTCATACCAATTTTTAAATTAATATGTAAGGACTGTATTATCTATTAGTAGACATATTATTTTGTATAAATCCATTTTATATTCCTATATATAATCTTTAGGTTTAATAGAATCCTAATATTCTATCTCAGTTTTATTAATAATTAAAAAATTCAGAATTTTATTTTTAGTAATAAAGAATAATGTAATTTAATTAATATCTTCTTTTAAAAATTCAACTGATACTTCAAATGTTGAACTCATTATATAAACATTCTTTTAAATATCTTTATTTTTTAGATTAACATATATTTTATGATATTAATCTTCATAAATTATAATAATAAAATTGATCTCAAATGAAATAATTTTCAATATTTTTTTAATTGGTAAATTTCTATGATAAATTATTATTGTCTAATTTTGATATTCTTATAAAACATTATCCTAATCAAATTCTAAATCCAAATACAGAGGTATTGCTTTTGAAATTTAATTAGTATAAATTATCAAATTAGTAATATCTCTTTAATTATTTTTAATAGTTATACTTTCTGTTAATTCAATTTGCAAAGGATAAATAATAGTATATTAGAACATTTTGTAGTAAAATAGTATTTAATTTGTGTAGTATTTTAATTAGCTTTTCTAATATATTCCAATAAATGGTAAATTTTAATATTGAATAAATTTATTAAGGCAAATAATGTTATAAAATGAAATTTAATTTTTATAATCTAGAGTCAAAAGGAGAGGTAATGTATTTAATTTATAAATTTGTTTTATATTTAAAATTCTTTTTTGATTAAAATTTTCATGAGTTATTATAGCATAATCATCATATAAAAAAAGAAAGATTTTTCCAGAATATTAAATGCTTTTAATCTATGATTCTGTATTTATCATTTAATTAAATGTAGGATAATAATACTCTATTCTGTTCTATCCTTTAAATTATTAATTCATTACATATGGAAAACAAGAGTCTTTAATGTAAAGAAACCATGGTTGATATTATATCATTTCATTTTTAAATAACTAATTCTCTAAATTATATGTGCACATGAATTATGCAAAAATTAATAGAACTATATTTTAATCACAAATTTTTAAATCAATTAAATTGCTATGATTTGGATAAGTGTCTAATTCATGTAATTTTGTGAAATTCTTATTGAATTACAATCTCCCATCTTATAGATTTATTTCAATAATCAAAATAATAGATATTTAACAATTCAAAGAATTTATGAGTAGTTTATTAGATTATAATTTAGAGTCTAATCTACAATTATGTATTTCATTAATTGTGATTTCATCTAATATTTAACTTTTGTCATTTAAAAGGAAATATTAGATTTATTAATTAGAATTAAGACAATGAATAAGAAATGAATCTTCTTCTATATAAAAAGCATTATAACATGAATTAGAAGGTAGAGATATAGGATTTGATCTAATTTCTTCTGCTATTATACCTTCATTGTATAATGTATTATTTATTCTAATTTTACAATCTATTGATTAAAGTTATAAGACACAAATATTAATATATTTTCCTTGGTGACTTAGAAATTTAAATAATGTTGCATCGTCATCTAAACCTAGATCAATCTACTTTTATTTTTATATTAACTATTAAGAAGAGGTATTTAGAAGTTTTCTTTATAAATCTTCATCATTCTTAAAAGGGATAGCCAAATCATTTTCTTCAATAATGTATTTTTCATTTTCCAAAAAATATAATTATTGCAATTCTGAATATTGTGTTATAATTATGGTATTCTGGCAGATTATGTAGATGAAACTAAATAAAGAGTGTATAAGCAAAGAAATTAATTTCATTTGGATTGTTAGTTATTTATAAATTGTTATTATAATTAGAGAATCTTAATTATGGTTGATTATCTATCAAATATATTAATAATATATAATAATCTATTATTAGAACTAAATTATTAAATTGAATATCAATATACTTAAATAATTATAAAGGATTAAGAAATAATTATATATTTAAAGTGAAGAAATTAATGAATAATAATAGATTTATATTAATTATACATAATATACAATTATATGTAAATGATATACTAATAATATTTAATTAATGTATTATTATTAGGTTATAAATGTGATTCATTAAAAAAAAGAATTCAATTTAATAATTATTAAACTATATCTATGTCCAATTAATTGGTATTTAGTAATAATAATTTAGAAATTACAACTTCTTATCCTATTGATTGTAAATAAAAGTTATGAAAGTGAATGCAATTGTGATCAATTAGAAGAAAATGATTGTAAAATAGCAAAACAATGTAAATTCAATTAAAATTAATGTTAATTAAAAAGTTGTTAGGATTATTCTATATCTGAATGCAATTATGTTGATAATTGTAATTTAGAGAACAATATATGTATTAATCATAATTGGTCTACATGTGCAGATATACCATTAGAAGTTTGTGAATTACATGATAATTGTGCAATAAATAATGAAAATTAATGTAGAGAATTTACAAAATGTGAAGATTACTAATTTAATAAGAATTAGAATTGTAATTCAAAAAATGAAAATTGTTATAATGGAATAGATGGATATTGTAAAAGTAAAATAGTAATTGGGAATTGTTAAGATATTCAATAAGAATGTGAAAAATATAAAATGTTAGATAAAACATATTGTGTAATATCAACAGATAATAAATGTGTTAGTATTGAAATTACTTAATGTTCAAATATGAATGGAACACCTGCTTGTTCTTTATATGAAGAATGCAATTGGGATATAAGTACTAGTATTTGTAGTGAAAAAAGATGTAATGATTTGAATTAATAAAATTGTAATGGTTCAATAAAGAATTTGAATGGTGATAAGACGATTTGCTATTGGGATAATGATGTATGTTAAAAGATGAGTTCAATTGATGATTTATCTGAAACAAATTGTTACTAATCAACAAATGGTTATAATACTTGGAAAGATGGATAGTGTCAAGAATGTACTTAATTGAGTGGGATAATAATACTGATAAATTATTTAATATATTTATTTTGAACAGCTAATATTAGATCATGAATTATTAATATCAGATCATTATCATGACTAATGTTGTGATAAAAGCTAATGCAATTTTAGCATAACAAGATAGACATTCTCCTCCAGTTGATGTAGAAACCCATCTAGAAGTACCCAAAGTTGTTGTATAACAATTACCTTATCCTAATCCTCCATAATTTTAAGCAGCTGAACATTTTCCAGCAGTAGAATCCCAACTACATAATTGATAATCTCCTTTATTGATAACACTCATGACAAAGGTACAACTTTGTTAGGTTGTGTAATCACTACAAAGTAATTGGGAACAAGTATTGCTAGTATATTTACATCCATATTTGGCTAAATAGCATTCTTATTAATTTAATTATGTGCAATTTTATGCTGCAGTGCATCCATCTCCATCTCTCCACATACATATTCCATCTTATGAAATATATCCTTCACAATATTAACTGGCAGTGAAATGTGAACAAGAATGAAGTTGATTTGAAGAACCACACTTTGTACCATTAGTAAATGGACAATTATTGGAACTTAATAAACATTACATTTAAGTGGCTCCTGATATTTGACTACAGAAGGTAAAAGGCTTACAGGAAGTTCCACTGGATGTTGTTGTCCACATACATTTTAAGTTTGCAGCACATGCAACAGAATCAGTTATCTTATCACAGTCTAGAGTAGAACATGAAGTTCCATCCCATGTACATTAAGGTCCCATTGTTGTACAATCACTCTAAAAAGACAATTATTCACAAGTGCATTAATTTGATGTATAGAATTATCCACTACTTTATCCACTACTTCCTAAACATCCAACAAAGAATAGAGCTAAGACGATTTTGATCATTCAATTTAAATAAAATAATTTATGTTCTGCATTTAATTATTATTTCCATTTAAACCCATCAAATTAAATTAAGATACTTTAATTTAGACATATTAGAATTATGTCTTCTCAATTATACTAATATATCAATAATATTATTAGATATTTATCTATAATAATATTTATATATATCAATCGATTGAATATATTTTAATTAAACTTGAATCTGTACTTAATTCTTATAATGCTTCTAATGCAGAAAAACTAATTAATTTGTCAGAAGGAGATTCATCTATTACATTATACAAAGTTGTTGCAATAAATGACATTTATTAAAAGAATTTTTAAAATTCTTCTTCTTTTGGAACACTCAAATATTAATTAATTATATAAGAATGTTCTTATTATTATTTGAATGTCTTTTCATCATCTTTAAAATTTTATTATAATTATAACACTTCCTACTTACTTAAATCACTATTAGCTATTATTATTTATGAATCCTTAGGTTTCCTATCTAAAACAGCTGCATATATTTCTGTTGCTACTCTCTCTAATGCATTTTCTTCATGTAAAGTATCATCTAATGAATTTATTAATTCATCCAAACTCAATCTCTTAAAAAATACCTCTAATACAAATAATACACTCTCTCTCATTCTTGTCTAATATTTCTTCTCTATAAAATTATCATGATTCTTAAATTTTACTAATATCTATATTAAAGATCTCAAATAATCTTTGGCATATTCATTTCTTAAATATTTCACTAACTCTACACAATGCATCTAAGCTTTTAAATTATCTAACGATTATTCTATTCAATAATACCTCCTTTTGTCAATACATCAAGAATACTCTATCTAATCTTAGCATTTTCTAATAACTCTTTACAATTCCCTTAAACTGCATTATGTAAACTTGTAGAAGCATTCCAACTTATTTTTGGATTCTTAGATGACAAAGCATTTGCATAACAATTTATTAAATCTTAATTTATTATTGCCTATTAACATTTCATCAAATAATATCCTAATCCACGTAAACCATTTGTTGAAATCTTCTCTTTATTATTCATTCCAAAATTTAAAAATAACTAATAAAACTCTTAATTTAAATTCACTAAACTACTTAAATTAGCTGCTGCCCAACTACTTTTCTCCAATACATGTACATTATTCCCTTATAATTTATTAAACATCTAAGATAATTCTTATACAGCCATTGGATTCTATAGAATACTATTTGAACTACATAATGTTCCTATTGCCTTATAAAAAGTTATTTTTAAACTAGACATATTAAATGGAGTATCACTAAATAATTGTACATAAATATAACTTATTTATTTTATCATCTTCTCAATAACTTCTTTATTCTATTTCTACCAAAAAGATTCCTAAAGATTACCAATTATATTGAATCCTGCAGGAACCAATTCAACTGCATTTGATTATAAACATTCCAAAGCTACATCAATTAAAATATCTTGAAATCCTTATTCAGCAACACAACTAATTTCTTCAAAAATCCTATAATATTAAATATTTGGTTGCTTAATTCTTTATAATTCTTAACAATTTACTAATTCACAGAATTCCTTATGAAAATGTGATTAACATTTTTGTAATAATTAATAACATTCTTAAATGAATAATTCATTATTATTATTATTATTTTCATTTCTATCTTTTATTCCTTACAAACATAACTTAATCAAATATCTTACATCTATTGTTTTAATACCCTCATATACTAAAAAATTCAAAATCTACATTGCAGATGTTTTCACTGTAGCATCATTCATCAATTATAATGATATTTAATATAAAGGAATTGCACCCTCTGAATCTTATAATTTTGTAAGAATCCTACATTCTTGCATCAAATACACTTCTAATTTACATAATTGAATATTGAATTAAGTATCATTCTATTTCCATCCAGACAGTAAAGCAAGTACTGTTTCATGAATTTATTTTACTCCCTAAAATAATACATATGCTTTAGGTTAAAATCCATGTTGATGTTTAACAATCTCTATCCCTTGAATCCACTTTGAGACATTCAATGTATCTAACAGTATTATTATTAATTGAATCAAATTAATCTTGGTATTCTTTCTTGGTTCATGTTATAAAAGTTGAAGTAGCTTCTACAAGAATAATTGCCAATTGCTTTAAAAATACAATGGGAATTCCTTAATTAAAGTCTTTAACACAAGTATACTAGTTGATCTTATTTTTGAATTAGCCTTTTGAGCTGCATCACTCTAACCTTCTGAATCACTAGATAGATCAGTTACTACATGTTCTGGTTAAAGATTGCCAAATTATGGAATACCCGTAAAACAACATCTAAAAACTTATCTTATGAATTGATCTGGAGTATCAATTTTGAATTCCTAAAGCAATGCTCCGATGGCTTTTAACAAAGTAATATTGATTGGAGAGCCTAAACACCTTTGAATGGCCACTTGTAATGTTTATGAATTGAATTCCTTAGGCTAGAGTTGAATTAATTTAGCCACCAATCTTATAGCTTAATCAACAGTTTTTAGAATCTCAATTAAGACTGGTACGATATCATGAGTAACCCTATTCTCTAAATGTTTGAGTGTATGCATCAATTATTCTTTATTTTCTAGTTACTTTCTTAGTGATTATGCTGTAATATGTTAATGCATTTGATTATTTCTTTTATAATGTAATAAATTTAATTGAAGAAGAAATTCAATTAGAACTTAATTTTAGTTCGCTTTTTATGAAGTATTCAAGATTGATCCCATACATAAGCTAGATCTAATTGAACATTGAATTCATTATTTAAAATGGTACTCTCAAATGATGGGACATTTGAACTAACTTTTGTTGATCCTTTTCGGTAATGTAAAGGAAAACCTTTGGAATACAAACACATAATGACACCTGAAGGGATCTGTGTCATAGGTGA